TAAAATTTTCAGCCTGCTGAGCATGAGCCAGTTGAGCCTGAGCCTGTTGAGCCTGTTGTTGAGCCTGTTGTTGAGCCTGTTGAGCCTGCTGGGCATTAGCAAATTGGGCTTGAGCACTAGCCAACTGAGCTAAAGCTTTCTGGGCGTTTGCTAATTGTGCCTGGGCCTGTTGATACTGAGCTTGATGTGACTGCTGATTAGAAACTTGAGTCTGTTGAAAAGGAGCCGGAGCTTTCTGATAGGGAGCTTCTGAAAGATGAGCCTGAGCTTGCTGAAAGTTAGCTTGCGCTTGCTGATAAGGAGCTTCTGCCAGATGAGCACTAGCTAATTGAGATAAAGCCTGTTGATTTTGAGCTTGAGCTTGTTGTGATTGCTGATATGGAGCTTGAGCCTGCTGGAAACTGGCAAATTGCGCTTCTGCTAACTGAGTTAAAGCCTGTTGGGCATTAGCTAATTGGGCCTGGGCTTGTTGATACTGAGCTTGCGCTAGATGTGATTGCTGATTAGAAGCTTGAGTTTGTTGGAATGGAGCTTGAGTTTGCTGAAAGTTAGCTTGTCCTTGCTGATAGGGAGCTTCTGCAAGATAAGCCTGCGCCTGTTGATACTGAGCTTGAGCTTGCTGTGATTGCTGATATGGAGCTTGAGCCTGCTGGAAGCTGGCAAATTGCGCTTCAGCTAACTGAGTTAAAGCCTGTTGGGCATTAGCTAATTGGGCTTGAGCCTGTTGATACTGAGCTTGAGCTTGCTGTGATTGCTGATATGGATCTTGAGCCTGCTGGAAGCTGGCAAATTGCGCTTCAGCTAACTGAGTTAAAGCCTGTTGGGCATTAGATAATTGGGCTTGAGCCTGTTGATACTGAGCTTGAGCTTGGTTTAACTGCTGACCAGCCATAGCTTGCTCTGAGTTAAAAGAGTTAGTATTTTCCATTCTGTTTGGAACCGCTTTTACGCACAAATGCTTCTGAAGAACTGAATAAGTTGCAGATTTTTGTAAAGTTTTGCGGATTTTTTGCTTCAATTTCGGTCATTTTTAGACAAACCTACAAATTTAATGGTTATCCAATTTTACTTATGTAACCTTAATTTTATATTTTGGATAAGTATGAATAAGCTTATTTTTATTTTCAGAATCTCCTCTCGGAGAGTAAATAAATGAAATAACAACAATTTTTAAGAAATATTCTTACGCTTTTATCTGATCTTAAGTAAAAATGCAGTAAATTGGTATGCTCCACATAAATTAGGAAATAATTGATTTTATACCGTGTAAAGAAGGTAAAAAAAAATTATTCATGTTTGCCAAAAGGTAAAGCCGTCTCAGGTGCAGCAGGCTAGAACACATCGGCTAGAACTGGCAAGGTGAGTTTAAGCCGGAAATTACAGAAACTGTTTTGGGATTGAGCTTCCAGACAAGAAACCTGTTTTTCTGATCTTAAAAAACAAATTTGTTATTTTCTTGTGATTTATTAACATTTTTTTATCGAATTGTATGGTTATTATATCGTTAGAACTGACGAGGGTCAACCCAGACCGAAATATATTTTCAAAAAAATGTGGAACTAATATCTACTTTATTTACTCTATAGAGGTTTGGTCCATTATCATCACCGAATTTTACATCTTTCTGATCATGATCTTTAGAAATCTTAATTTTTAGATAATTTAATTCCTGGTCCTGGTTTCGAAGTTTCTCGTGTTTTCTAGATATCCTGAATTAAAAACATTCGGATTTTAATTCTTCATTGTTTATTTATCTTTTATAAAATAACAAATTAAAAAAGGACTGAAAAGAGTGTAAAAAACTACGTATAAAAAATGGCAAGGTTTACGCAGGTCGGATATTCCTCTTAACTCTCTTTGTTCCAATTCTCAGGACGGGGCGGGTAGTTAAAAACCTGTAGGAGGAACGTGCACTCAGATTTGCGAAATTTTTTAATCGTTTCTTCGCAATTATTGGTCTTATTTCTATAGTTTGCATACAAAGATTTTGCAAAATAATCGTGTTTACTTTTCAGTTTTTCTAGTGTTCAATTCTTTCAATTTTTCTCCTTTTCTCTGCTGCATATCTGCAAGTCACAACAAATGAAATTCATCAATTTTCAAATAGAAAACAAGAACATTATTTTTATTCAAACGAAATTTTAATGGATACCGTTGTGAATCCATCATGAAACTTTTTAGATGGAGGATTACTTATAAATTTGCGTAAACTCGACAGTCCTTCTATGTTAATAGACCTTTTTGTTGTTGCCTGGTTTTAATGCATGTTTGTTAATAAAATTTTCACGTTTTTTACGCGTTCGTACATGTATTTGACGATTTAACGGTAAGAAAGACATATATTTTAGAAATTATGGAGGCAGCAAATGGTCTCAAGGTATATTTTTATTTCACCCAAGTGCATAAATATACCAAATCATATATATAAACCATTGCATAATATAGAATAACTCAATTTAACAGATTGGACCCAATTGGGATATTTCTCCATCAGTTCGTTCAACCCTATCTTCAGCTGTAAAAGTGTTCTCATCGTATTTCAAGGACTCTAGCTTGGAAACTAAAATTTCCACATAAAAGTCAACCTACTTAAATTAGAAATTTTAAATCAACATTCCCGAGTTCTACCGAGTTCCCAAATCAAATTTGTCAAGGGGTTCATGAGTTATGATCGGACAACATATATATATATATATATATATATATACATGAAGATGTTTGTTTTGTTTTAAATACTAAAATACGGTTATAAATCAACAATAATGAAAATGTAATATATTATCTGAAATTGATTTAACTGTTTAAAGGTTTTCTGTAAGCGTAACTTCAAATTCATTCACAACAATACCCTTAAAACCTTTATCTGATCAATAATGTGGAAGATATTGTAGTTTTAAAGAACTAAATTTAACACGCTTCCAGTCCATTTCACTTTAATTTTCTGTTTCTTTTTAATTTGATCAAAGTTAATTTTTAATTATATGCAATTTTAGTATTTGTTTGATGACAAATGATGATATTTATTTGAGAGGATAATAGAGTGTGTATTATACTCTCTCTCATATATATATCTTTAGATATCAACACTCTAGAACACCATCTAATATTTTCTAATCCTTAAAAAAACAGCGGATCACATTCACAGAGAGTAAGGATTTACAGAGTTCGCAGTCGAATTTTTCATTTTTGTGTGACTCTGAAAATTTAAACTAATTTCTATCGTACCCAAATCTTCAAGTATATTATTTTACCGCCAACATTAACGACCCAGGACTTCCCCAAGCGAGGGAAGTTAGGTTACTTAACGTCCCTTGGGACAATTTAGTAAATTAACGACCCGCTCTGCAAAGTGTTCGTGGAAAAGTTCGCGCATTTCCGTCTCAAACGATTATAAAATTGATCACAACAACTATTTCCGGAAATTAAAAACTTTAATCAACAGCGGGTTCCCTCTACCAATTTTGTCAATAAAACATCCCTCATGAGTACCCTTAGTAAAGTAAAATTCCCTTAACTTCCCTGTAAAGTAGATAGTTGTAAATAATTATAAGAGGACATTTTTCGTGGACAACCTGATCCGCATAAAACAAGAATTTTCCCAAATTTAAGAAAGATCTTATAAAATCGATGTTCAGGGTTTGTAGAAAAACAATATGGAATTAGGGAAATGAGAGTATTTGAACATTTTTTTATGAAACAAATAAAAAATGCATCTTATGTCCAAACTTAAGCTTTAAAAAAATCAGTCACGCGCTTAATACAATCCGTTAAGTTTGCTTGCAGAAGTTTTAATGGATGAAGAATAGAGAACCCGAACTATTTATAGGAGAGCAATCATTACTATAAAGAGAGTTCTGCAGTTTCATATGTATCTATTCATAAGAAAAAGTGCACCTCTGAAGAAAACAGCAAACTTCATAATAAAGAAAACGAAATGAACATCTTGTTTTTTCTAATACTAATAAATTTGTTAAACTCAGTACTTCTCTGATTGCTTCAAATAGAGTATTTGATACAATTCAGGACCTCTCGTGTAAGATAAAATGTAAGGTGAAATAAATTGTTCTGCTGTGTATGAGGGTTTTGCCCCCCCCCCCTCTGATTGAGTAACTTCAAGGAACTAAATGATTTTTTTTCTGACACTAATAAATTTGTGAAACTCAATACTTTTTTAATTGATTCAGATATAGACCAGTATTCTCGACATGCAATTCAGTTCTGACACTGGGGAAGGAGGGCGCGTCCCCCCCTCCCCCTCGTACGTGTGATAAATAATGTGATGTGAAATAAGTTTTTTTTGCTGTGTATGAAGGATTTTGCCCCCTTCCCCTCTGTTTACCCTGAGCAAACAAACCGCCCCCCCCCTTTAGAAGAATTAGGGGCGGGTAGCTGGATTTTTGTCCTCCCTACTTGGGTGCGCTTTTAATTCTCAGCATTCTCGAACCCATTTTCAATTTTAATATCAAAAAAGCCATTTTGGATGTTTTGATCATGTTTTTCACCTTGCTAAAAAAGCTAAATATTTTTTGAATATTTGAACTTTGCACAAGGAACTTTTAAAAGTTAGAATATCGATTTGACAAATGTACATTAATGGTTTCTGCATTTTTATTCATATGTAGAATGACGTCTACAAAAATCCCCCTCTTCTTTAAATGTACATGTTAACCTTTATCTCCAATGATAAAGAGTTTGTACAAACTGTCTATCAGCATTCTATACTCTAACCTTTCTCCGCTGGAAACACTTGTTTTACATAATTTTGAGTTTTTGGGTCTATTTTGCAAACAAATTATTCAATTATTAATCATAAAAAGTAATTTTTTTGAATAAAACTATATTTCTAAATTTGTCTTCCTTTCCCTTTAAACCTTAAAATACCTATTTGCATAATAACTTGAAACGCAGTGTATGTAATTGATCAGATTTTAGCTTCAAGAGGACAAATTTGATCAGATTTTAGCTTCAAGAGGACAAATTTGATCAGATTTTAGCTTCAAGAGGACAAATTTCAGATTTTAGCTTCAAGAGGACAAATTTGATCAGATTTTAGCTTCAAGAGGACAAATTTGATCAGATTTTAGCTTCCAGAGGACAAATTCGATCAGATTTTAGCTTCAAGAGGACAAATTTGATCAGATCCTTTTACAATAGAGCAAAGGTGTTGCAATTCAAAAAAAAAATAATATTGGACATAAATAATAAAACTTGGTATCTTGAGAGAGCTATGTTATTTAGAATTTAGTACACTAATAGCTGGTTAAAAGAAAAACACAAAGCAAAGCATTTTTTCTTCCATTTTTGATGACACCATTACACTGTATAGAGTGAGGAGTGTTGTTTTATAAGATTTATTGTTTGTGATTTCAGTTTTATCTTCTAAGGATTAAAGAACCTGTTCAGTCACGTGAAACTAAAAGTCCTTTGATCTTTTATTCAAAACACTTTAAATACTTTAATATTTAAAAGATATATCCACCAATAAAAAAAAACAATATATATTACTTACAAAGAAATCTAATTTAATGGGTAAAAATGGGTTACAAAGTTAAGGCTAACTGACTTTTTTAGCCAGGACCTCTATTTCACCGTACAGAGTTTAACGTTTTGTGTGTATTAGTTAGATAAAACTAATACAATTCGAATACTTTAACAGATATCTTCAGCAGTAAAGCTAATTGAATTAAGCTTGCAACTTTTAGTTTTTTATCTGCGCAATCTTCCTAAAATATAAACTTTAAATTTCGGAACTCTTTAGGTTTCCACAGATGGATTGCAAAACGATTTTTGAAATTTTTTTTGATCGCCAAAAAAATAGACAAACAAATAAATATATCTTATAATATGTATCGTAGTAATAACTTCACAATGGATCTTTTTTAACTATTTATGACCTGACCTCTACCTGGGCTGCTAGTCTCTCCAGTATCTTTTTTTGTGCAATGTTTATGGAAGGAGTTTAAGTGACTCTCCATGCAAAGATTACAACGCCCGATTTACAACGGTACCCTTGAAAACTTACTCTAATAAAAAATGTGGAGTATCGTTTTCTGACCAAAAAGTTTTTATTTCTTTAAGTTTCTTCATTCCTTTTTATAAGCAAGGAATGCGCAAGTTTTCTTCGCAGAGAAGCGGCAAATGAAAATAAAAATTTGGAGAAACAAAAACAATGCATTGGTATCTATAAATTCATACTTAATCAGACAAAGCTCTTAAGGGTACCGTTGTAAATCGGACAGTGCCATCTATGCATGGAGGGTCACTTTAAATTACGCTTATAGTTTCTCTCTAAAATACAATAAAGCTTCTAAAACATATTTTGTAATTCAGTGACTGTCTTGAGGCTAAAAACATTTAATTACATATTCAGGACTTTTTAGCTAACATTCCTATTTGATAAAATATAAAGCCAGTAAATTCAGCGGGAGTCCTGGTTTCGATGACTCCTGGCCCCCTGGCCCCCCCCCTTTGGTATTGTTACATTTAAGAACTAAAAGAAACTCAATTAATAAAATCTCCATTCTAGGAGACTTAAACGGAGAAGTGAGACTAGTGCTAGAAACTTTCCTGGCGATAAACTTTGTGATTACATTATCTGCAAAATATTGAAGTTCTTAAAAATTCCCTCTTTCTTTAAATCTGAATATTTTCAGATGGTTTCTCACCATTAAGTATAAACTATGAGCAAGCGGGGGTCAGGATTAATAGCCTAAGGTGAAAATCTATTTATAAACTGTTTAATGAACAAAATTAAAACATTGGTGATTTTTAAGGGTTACCCTGTCCTCTACTGTCAACTACGGGAGTAGACCAAAGCTACAGGAGTAGCTAACAGGAGCAGGAGGACTTTCTACAAACTTAGCTACAGGAGTAGCTAATAGGAGTACCCTCTACAACAGCTACAGGAGTAGCTAATAGGAGTAACAGGAGCAGGAGTACTTTCTACAAACTTAGCTACAGGAGTAGCTAATAGGAGTACCCTCTACAACAGTTACAGGAGTAGCTAATAGGAGTATCCTCTACAACAGCTATAGGAGTAGCTATCTGGAGTTAGTATTTCTTACAACACAGCTACAGGAGTAGTTCTACAACCACAGCTACAGGAGTAGTTCTACAACCACAATTACAGGAGTAGTTCTACAACCACAGCTACAGGAGTAGCTACCAGGAGGAGTTAAACTGATGGAAAAATCAAGACGACCTGGAAAATGTAAGAAATGTTTTAAACTTCTTGTAATTCTTATTATTGTAAAAAACTCCTAAATCTATGCCAGAACAAATTCTGATTTTAATCTACTATAAACATTTTATTCAGGAATTTTATACAGGAGATATTTAAAGGAAAGTAAAAAAAAAAATATTGTAATGTCAATGATCTAATACTTTTATATTTTAGGTTTTTTGACCTTGCTCTGTAATACAATAATTTCAGACTAGTGTCATGCATTTTCATGATCATAAAATGATCCGGTCTTAAAGCAAAAATTATCAAGATTTGATCTCAACCTACCATCAGAGGTGAGATTCAAACAGGTATAACAAATTAAATATTTAAAAATAATTTTTTATCCGATTGCTCCGTTTTCGCGGTTTTAAGTGGAGTAGATAATTTATTCTTTATAGGATATACAAAACATTACGATTTCAACATTTTATTTAAGATATTTCCTAAAATACAAAATAATTATATATATTTACAATTTCACATCTAGAAAACTTTCATTTCTCTATACATCATTTTACAAATATATTGTATTATATGATTATTATGTATTATGTCTTAGATTCAAAAGTTTTTTTTGTAAAGAAAAATCACGAAGAAAAGTTGAAGGCTTAAGAATAAATAAGTTATGCATCTCATGCCAATTATCAAACAATTATGATTTCTTAACAAGCACTCAATTTAAGATCATGAGATGCACAAAACTGACGCACCTTTGAAAAATCAGAATTTTCGAAAAAAGTCGATTTTTTTTCATTGCATAGTTATAACATGTTTTAAAGCGGACTGAAAGTCTATAAATCAAGAATATCCCTGTTAAAGTGTGTAACTGTTTAGAAAATGTGCCCTGAGATAGGATTTTTGTGTGAAAAATCATATTATCAATTAATCTTGATATCCAATGTGGACACTTATAATATCTAGGATAAATCTCTTCAGTTATCCTGGCAGGAATTAGAATAATTCGTAGGTCTGGAAAATACTTGATCCCAACTTGATCTAACTTCAGAGCTGGAAACTTTTCTGTTGGTTACTCATAATCCCGATTGCTTGATCTCGATTTCCACTGTAGGCACTTTTAATTTTAGGATAAATGCTTAATCCATTTATGTCAGTTATTCCTCTAGGGTGCACTACCATGTGGGATATCAAATACAGATTGAATTAATCTGAAGATTAGCAAAAGATCGAGATCAAGTGTTGATCTCGATATCTGGGCACATTTTCAAAGAAATAGCAATCTTAACCGTTACAAAATCATTAGATACAATTCTAACAAAGACGCAAATACATTTAAAATAAAATCTAAACATAAAACGTTCCCAGGGAAAGCGGGGTTCCAAGCTAGTAGATTATGAAATATCACTTTTTTGGTCCGAACCGGGGAGGGGACCATAGGATAGCCCACCCCTCTCTCTATATAATCTCATTTTAACCTTTTGAAATAAAAGCGATAAAAATACGTTATATCTTTTATTTATATTTAATCCCCCCCCCCTCCAGAATTTTTTTTTTTTTGGGGGGGGGGGGAGGTTTGTCATTTTATCCACAATCTAGCTCCAAGATCCGGAACGCTCATACTTTTGTTTACAAAAAGGTGTAATGCAATTTTCTTGAGTAAAAACAAACAAAAATACAGTGATAATCTTTAAACTGTAGAATAGGAGAATGTATCTGAAGTGCAATTGATGGTGAACAAAGCAAATAGTTTGTTATTTCATAACTTTGCACTTCACAAATTCACAATTGATGTCTCATGCTCATAGGACTATTTAAAGAGTCATAACTAAAGTTTAAAAGTCGAGTTCCTATTCCAGATTTTCTGGTTATCACTTTAATACTGCAGTTTATACCAGGTTTGTATGCTATTTTTCTTTGAGAAACTGCATTAATCTCTTTTGTAAAGAAAACTATGTATGTTCCTGGTTTATCTTCATTGGTGAAAACCTGTCCTTCCTCATAACGCCCCCACTTTCACATTAAACCAGGGACTCTTGACGGAATTAAGACAATGGGGGGGGGGGGTTATGAAAAATTTACCCCCCCCCACTATAGTTCTTGTATTTGGTTAAATAAGAATCTTTAAAATCCTTCAATTTCTTGAGATCTTGATTTCTTCAGTTTCCTAAAAAAATATTGTTGAGAAAAATCTGCGAAAACAAAAAAGTTCTGTTCGTAAAATGTGCTAATGGAAATGGTTAAAGAATTTAAATTAATGGAAATTCTTGCGATGTTGAAGAGACATCAATACAAAATTAAATTAACAACAATAATCCAAAAAAGTTATTATTTAATACAATAAATCTAGATACATGTAAATATTGTATTGTTTTTCAAAATTCGATTGTTTAAAGATTCCGATTAAAATCTGCACGACATTAAAGTTGATCCGCATGAAAATGTGAACTACATAATAGAATATCTTTTTAGCATTTTAATCTGATAGATAAAATTAACATTAGCGTTAAAATTTTTCTGACCAATTTGATTTTTTATTCTCTTTTAAAAACCTACAAGAATATGAAAACCGCGGCCCAGATTTGTTTTGAGTTTGATAATTACAATAAGACGGTTTGAAAGTCGTCTTAGTATAATATTTAAGTTAAAAACCTTACATTTTGGCTTTACAGCCGTGCAACTACAGTTAACTCTGAAAAAAATAACTAACTACCAAAATATGAACAAAATCCCCCGAGCAGGTAAAAATAGATGCAGGGTTAACGCCTCCGGGAGTCTGACAAGTTTATACGTATATGCAGACATTATCTGATCTGTGACAAAATATATAGTTAGCGACGTACGTTTCCATGGAGCAAAAACGACTTTCATTCCTCTTTATTCGGTTTATTACTAATAAAAATTATAATAAGCATGACAATTAATAGATCGTATTTGTAAATGATTTAAGATATTGTAAGTATATAAGTTTTAAATTTGTTGTTGTATGATGCATATATACTATTGTACAAACTACTACACTTGGAATCAGAAAACTGTGGATATAAATTTGACATTAAAACAAAGCTTAGGAGTATTTGAAGTTGTTACAAAGCATCAAGTTGTACTATTAACTTATTAAATCACTTATTGAGGGAAATGAGTCTGTTTACGCTGCACAGTGCACTTGTGTCTCATTTTCATTAGACATTTAAAGTCATAACTATTCCAGAGTTTTCTAGTTCTCACTGTATTTAGTAAAATGAGAGAATAAAATTTACTCTAGTCGATGTTATTAAATATTGAAGTTTGGATTTATAATGCTAATTTAAAACAAAGACGACCCTGAAGTCCCTCAATGGCCATGTTTATTTAACTTCTCTGTAGAAGAAAATGTATTTTACCTATTGCATGAATCCACATCACAGGTAAGTAAGCTAGCACAATGGGTCATCTTACAAGCTCTCCTCTCACTCCTATAGTTAAACTTTTACTATGGAACATATAAAGCTTAATACAATGAGAACCAGAAAACTCTGGAATAGAAATACGATTTTAATACTCCAGTTATAACTTTAAATAGTGCAATGAATATGATATACAATAATTGAGCAGTGTAAACAGATCCATTTGACTTAGGAAGTGATTTAAAAGTCACTAAATCTATTTGTAACACTTAATTATTACTTTGATGTCGTCTTTCTATTCCACAGTTTTATGGTTCTGACCGTATAAATCTTCAATTTCTGAAACTGAAACACATCCTATGATGCGCTATTGACTCTAAATTATATATATAAATATAAATATTTAGAACGTATATTTTCCTTTTTTTCTAGTTTTATAAAAATACCTGTTTCTTCTGCTGATAAAACTACAGTGTGTGTTTCTGCAGGATTTAATACTTTCACAACTCTACCATCAATCAATCAATCAATCAATCAATCAATATAGCAATCTATTAATAGATTAATTAATCCGTCAATCAATTAATAATAGTCCATTATTCAACTGTTAATTAGTGAATCCTTCAATTAATCAATCTGTCAGTAAAATAAGTCAATTGTTTAATTAGTCAATCAATCAAACAACCAACCACTCAACTCATTAGAAAATCAGTTAATTGGCAAATTAGTCAATCAGTCAATAATTGGTCAGTCAGTCAATCAGTTAATCAGTCAATTAGTCAAACAGTCACTCAGTCAATCAGTTAATGAATCAGTCAATTTGTCAATTTGTCGATATATCAATCAGTAATTCAGTCAATCAGTCAATCTGTCACTTACTCTATCAGCAAATCAGTAAATAAGCCAATCAGTCAGTGAGTCAATCAGTTAATCAGTCAATTACTCAATCAATCATCAATTATCAATTATCAAACAATCAATCAATAAATAAACAAAAAATCAAGTAAAGCCTTTAATTAATCAATTAATCAGTTGATAACTAACAGCAATTTAAAAAATTAAAAAATTGGAAAACATTTTTTAACATTTTTAGGTAAAAAAAGATAATATTGAAATTGATGTTTCAAGTGGTAGATTAGAATAAGATTGGTTGTGGTTCCTCCGGACTACAGAGTCCACTGTCTGTATCATCATCTAGAAGTAGCTGACAATGATGTCCTGCAAACCCGGGCTCACATCGACACCTAGACATAGAACTAATTTCATCATCCAAAGAGATGCATTAATGATGACCTAGAGAATCCCTGAACCGCTATGATTTAAAGATTAAGATATGTCTTTGGACTGTAATTTAATAAATAAGACTAAGTGTAATCTGCGCAATCAACTTTAAGTTTTTAGAAGATGAACCAAAATGACGTCTTAACCTTCAACATTCTCAAGCTATTTCATTCGATCCATCATCTAAAGAGAGATTTAGATACGGAGAAGAGTCAGGGAATTATACAATGGGGGGGGGGGGGTAATTTATATTTCCCCATTATTTATCAAGCTTGCCCCCTCCCTCTATGATACACGCCCCTGGTAAGAAATAAGAAGTTTAATTGATTTGAAACCTTTAAATCTGGTCTCAATCCAAGGGATGACCGCCCTCATACCAATCTTTTAAGCAGCATGGATACACATAAACAAAGAGAAGCTGTCAATTATTAATAACAGCTTCTCTACATTTTCTCTAAATAGAAAAGTCGTCTTCATTGTATTGATAAAATCACCGACCACTGTATTAAATATACCTATTTACTCCTTTACACACCCCGCCATTGAGACAAGGAACAACACATTTAGAGAACTCACATCGTCTTCCATAGAACCCAGGCTTACACCGACATGTATCTTTCTGATCAAAAATACAAAATTCGGAAAAGTTTTGATAAATTCTTTGCATAAATTTGTTTATTCCAAAAAGCAATTGGGCGGAAGCTAAAAATAATTTTTCAATACAGTCACAAAAATCAAAATATGATTTTATTTAACAAGCATGAATTACAAATGCCGATACCGGTTGTCAAAATAGAAGAAACCCTAATTTGGCTTTGGTTTTGACATCATACATATCGTATAATTATTAATTTCATTATTTTTAGACTTTTTGGTTTAAAAATCTCAATAACGGTTCAAAGATATCTGTTCGGAGGTCAGAACTTTTGTGTGGAGTTTTGTTAATCTTAAATTTGAGGATCAATGCTTGATTCATCAATTAAAGTTATCCTTGGATTTTGTTTGAATTAGAATTGATTGTATTCCTCGATGCATCTTCCTTTGTTGAGACAAGATTCTGTACAAACACCTCCCTCACAGCTGGGACCCTGCAGTACAATAACTGTATAATATACATACACCTCCCTCACAGCTGGGACCCTGCAGTACAATAACTGTATAATATACATACACCTCCTTCACAGCTGGGACCCTGCAGTACAATAACTGTATAATATACATACACCTCCTTAACAGCTGGGGCCCTGCAGTACAATAATTGTATAATGTACATACACCTCCTTCACAGCTGGAATCCTGCAGTACAATAACTGTATAATGTACATACTGTCACAGCTGGGACCTTGCAGATCAATAATTGTACAATATACATACTGTCACAGCTGGGACAATAACTGTATAATGTACATACTCTCACAGCTGGGACCCTGTAGTTCAAGAACTGTACAATGTAAATACTGTAACAGCTAGGACCCTGCAGTACAATAACTGTACAATGTACATACTGTCACAGCTGGGACCATGTAGTTCAATAACTGTACAATGTAGATACTGTCACATCTGGCACCCTGCATACAGTTCAACAACTGTACAATGCACATACTGCATGGAATTGGAATAAAGGGAAGAGCAATGGCGCTGGTCTGGCATGAGAAAGCCATTCGCACTGCTTTGCAGACGAGTTCGGTATTACATACGCACACTCTTTTGGTACAGACACACAACATTAATACAGTCAAGGAAATTGCAGAACAATGTCGTCAATTATAGTTAATTGCTTGAATAACGAGTAGATTGTAAACTTTAATCAAATTATATTCTTTGCATGAAAATTTGGCTTATAGTGTTGACTTAAATATGTAAATAATATATTAAATGTATATTAAACTTATTTTTAAGTAAACAATTAACAATAAACAAATGTACTCTCCTAGACTTTACAAATACCGAGTTTTTTATGTACTGTACACACCTACAGTACACACCTTCGGTTCGGTGTTCCTTACACAAATTCTTTTAGTTACAGACAGACACACATGACGTTTCAGCCCCCTGACATACTGTCACAGCTGGGACCCTGCAGTTCAATAACTGTACAATGCACATACTGTCACAGCTGGGACCATGTAGTTCAACAACTGTACAATGTATAAACTGTCACAGCTGGGACCCTGCAGTTCAATAACTGTACAATGTACATACTGTAACAGCTGGGACCATGCAGTTCAACAACTGTACAATGTATAAACTGTCATGGAGTTCAAAGTGTACAATTCATGTAAATGTTGACAAATTATATTCAGTAGAGTACATTAATACAGTATGTTCCCTAGACTATCCATTTCAATTTCGAATTTTTTTTGAAGCTGTTAAATAAACTTTATAAAATGAATTAGGTGAATAAAAAATCCTTTGATTAATATATATCCAAGCAATTATAATGCTTACAAACACCGCCCAGAGAGAACTGGTTTTCATATGTACGCAGAGAATGCGGATAATACGCAAAAGCAAATAACTTTCCTTGCCTTATTACCTTGTCTATATTCAAATTTTGAATTAAACGTGTAGCTGAAGATTTTCTGATTTTAGAGTCATGACAGCCAAAATATGGGTATTTTGTGATTATGTTGCTGAATCTAAGACGACCTTCAATTCGTTTCTAAGCTGTCACGTTTCGTGTAATAAGAAGGTTTTTACGCCACTTTTTACTAGTAATAACTGTATAAGTTATGTAATAAGTTGTACAAGCTGTACGATGCGATGTTTTAATTTTCCATGAGAACTATAAAGTAAACAATTCTAGGTAACAAGTAAGTTGGATTACAAAATAGTACTCAATTCTGTTAAAACCTCGACATTTTTTAATCTAATGGAGTTTAGCAAGCTTAGCTTCCACAAATAAAAAAAGCATACTCCTAAGCTTTCCCGAGGTGCAGGCCACATTTGAGAAATTTTGAAATAAGAGGATTTTGTTTTTGATAATTTTGAGTATGATACTGGTATTTTCAGATTTTAATCAGATCTAAAACAATTTAGATGCGTGTAGTGACTCAATTTCCAGGTTTATTGGGCGTAGGGACGCTTTGTTAGGCGTTTAGTGTACATCAAATGTGTACATCAAACTCTTTTCATATTTTAATAAAAAGTTCGAAAATCAGAAAAATCTGAATAGTTTCTTCATAATTTGACAATTAAACTAAGTTTGATTACCTGGAACCCTGCTGGACAATCACATACACCTGGAGAACTACAGAACCCTAAAACAAGATATATTATTTAATGAGACTGTCCCGTAATTTCAAGTGACCCTTGAAGAGACTGTAAGCGTAATTTCAAGTGAACCTTGAAGAGACTGTAAGCGTAATTTCAAGTGACCCTTGAAGAGACTGTACGCGTAATTTCAGGTGACCCTTGAAGGGACTGTAAGTGTAATTTCGAGTGACCCTTGAAGAGACTGTCCCATAATTTCAAGTGAACCTTGAAGAGACTGTCCCGTAATTTCAAGTGACCCTTGAAGAGACTGTAAGCGTAATTTCAAGTTACCCTCAATAAAATGATGGTAATGCCCGGGTTGCAAATTACAACCTGTACTCTTAAAAAACTTAAACCTTAATTAGAGCTGAGATTTTCAAAGCTTTATCCCGGACTCGGGCTCAGATAGAACCCAAGTCAGGATTGGTTCTGATTTGACCAATGAGAGATGGTTAAGAAAGCTTTCTCTCTATAACAGACAGTTTTTACGAAATTTACGATCATCAGCTTTTGAAAACTAACTTTCTCAGATTTATATACTTGAGCTTATATCGACAGTTCCTTTAATTAATGAAAATAAACCAGAACTATCTTGATTAAAAAATAATGTACAAAATTAATTACTTAAAAGTCATCAACAAAAATGAGAAAAATGACGAGCATTATTAACATTAATTACAACGCTCAGAAACAGGGTATTCGTTTAATCTGAGTAAAATAAATTATAAAATATATTGGATTAATAATAAGATGCCTACTAGAACTACCTTAGGATAAAAAAATCTCAAATATGAGACATATGGTAAAACTATCTTATATAGGAAATTTTAGAATTTTGAAATAATTGTCCTTTTTTTCAATAGTTTTTGGGACTTTTGACCAGTTTCAGCTAGTTTTGGAAATCACGAAAATTGACAGGATTTTTTTTCAATTTTTTTTTTGTTTTGTTCGACACATAAGATTTTAGGCGAAAAATCTCGTTTTATTTCAGTGATATCATCATGGAGACCCATACAACTGTGGAATAGAAAGACGGCTATTACACATACCTAGATGTCACATTGGAGAAGATGATTTTTAAGCTACTGGGCAAATTATTTTCTTAAAAACAACAGCAAATGTACAATACATTGATTAAATATCGTCTTCATATTCCACAAGTTTATATGGGTTCCATGTACCTCCATGCATGCACTGTGGAGAGCAGACCGGAGTTCTACAATCGTCTCCTTCCCAACCCGTCCTGCAGACGCATTCACCTGCACTATCACATTCACCACGTCCTCCACATTTTCTAAACAAACAAATTCAATTTAACATATCAAAGGTCTACGTCTACGACATCGGTTTGCAAAGATATAGAAATTTAAAAATCAGAGTTTGAAAAAAATCCAAAAAATGGAAAAACTCCATCTTAGAAAAATTCCCATATAACAGCATTATGTTTGTATATAAGCGCAACTTTGCAAAAAAAATTGAGTCTTTGCCACAAAGTAAAATTTTCTGTATCTTTGCAACCTTTTGATATTGTAAACCTCTTGTAAACATTTTAGACTTATACAGAATTCCTAGTTTGAAATATCAAAGGTCTACGACATCGGGTTGCAAAGATGGAGGAATTTAAACATCTGAGAATGCAGGGAAAAATTTAGATCCTTTAACTTTATAACTTACCTAATATTTCTATGGAAAAAACCGGTTTTTACATTATGATTCTTAAAAAAGCAATATCAATATAGCCCTGGTCCTGCTATTTCCAAAATATGATTTGCCTGAATTTTGTGCTTTCAAAATTTCCAGAGATGTGAAGAATTTCGTTTTCAAGAAAATCGAGAAATTCCGTTTCTTTGTGAATATATCTGACATCAATTATGTAAACATATTTATTCAAAGTGATACCTTTACAAATATTCACATATATTTGTAATTCAAGTTTATGACAAACATTAAAGTAAAATGTAAGACTAAAAAGTTTGTCTACCATGAGAGGAGAGCTAGGTTCTATTTTGTTATGTGTTAGATAGATTTCAATAATTTAAGATATTATCAATTTTTATAAAATTAGCCAACCTATCACAAAGAGTATCTCTACCAAAGGCCAGACATTCTTTCCTAAATTAATCATAATTAATCATAATTAATCATAATTAATCATAATTAATCATAATTAATCATATTTAATCATAATTAATCATAATTAATCATAATTAATCATATTTAATCATAATTAATCATAATTAATCATAATTAATCATAATTAATCATAATTAATCATAATTAATCATAATTAATCATAATTAATCATAATTAATCATATTTAATCATAATTAATCATATTTAATCATAATTAATCATAATTAATCATAATTAATCATAATTAATCATAATTAATCATAATCAATCATAATTAATCAGTATCTTATCCCGAGTCAAGCATTAATTCTTCTACCATTTAATCCCATGAAAATGTCCATAAAGTCTACTAACTTAATTATTCTAATTGGAAAATATAACAAATTCACATTTTCGAAAGTAAAGACGCACTTATAATTAAATTCCGGAGATCTAATTATGGTTTCTGTATCAGAAATCACCAATATTAAATCCAAGATTAAAAACTTACAATTTTTATTTTACAATTTACAAATTTTAAAGTAAAAAAGAGTACCAATAGTAATGTGGGGGTCGAATGAAATTGAATCTTAATTACACTGAAATATTCTACCTTAATCTGAGCTTAAGAGGGGTTCCTGCTAATCTTTTTCTTCTAGAAAATATCTCTAAACCTAAAATATCAAACTTCAATATTATTATTATCATCAATATGTATTAAGAAACAAAATCTCTATAATAAAACAAGAAAATTCGTATTTATATTCACTATAGCCGGCCAAACGGCTGGACCGAATGGGCTGACATTTTTACATTTTTGAGGGAGTTCGGGGGTAACATTGAAAAAATTCAAACTTTTTTCTTCCCATTTTTTTTAATTCCACGCGCAACGCCGGGCTCTTCAGCTAGTAGTTAATATTTTGAATTATATTTAATTTCTTTATATCAATATTTAAAATATGAGTTCAACTGAAAAATATGAAAATTATGAAATACAGAGATTACTACTTTTCTAAATATGCTAGCCTGAGAACCCAGGGAACTAATAATTACTCCCGCCGTTTACCCGCGCTTGGTCGTAAATTACGATTTTAACTATTTTTTCATTTAAAAGTTGACCCACTCAACTCAGAATCACTTAGTTTATATATTGAAGATATATATATTATGCATTTATTACACTATTCTGAAACATAACTTCAATATATTTTGATATTTTGACAAATTATTTCTGCCTAAAACAAATTTTTTGTTTTCTTGTTGGGATATACTTTTATTTAGAAATATTTTCTAATATTGTAAAAATTCTAAAAATATTTTGAATTTTGATGAAATGAAACAACGTAATTTTTATTTTATTGCTGTAAATTGCAAAATTGAAAAATTAACAAACCTACACTGAAAGAAGCAATGCCAGTTAAGTTGCCAGTACATAACAGTTTCACACTGAACTCTAAACAATGTACATAGATTAGTTGCCAGTACATAATAGTTTCACGTTGAACTCTAAACAGCGTACATAGATTAGTTGCCAGAACACAACAAATTCACGCTAAACTCTAAACAGTGTACATAGATAAGTTGCCAGTACATAATAGTTTCACGCTGAATTCTAAACAGTGTACATAGATTAGTTGCCCGTACATAATAGTTTCACACTGAAATCTAAACAGTGTACATAGATTAGTTGCCAGTACATAACAGTTTCACGCTGAATTCTAAACAGTGTACATAGATTAGTTGCCAGTACATAATAGTTTCACGCTGAATTCTAAACAGTGTACATAGATTAGTTGCCAGCACATAACAGTTTCATACTGAACTCTAAACAATGTACATAGATTAGTTGCCAGTACATAACAGTTTTACGCTAAACTCTAAACAGTGTACATAGATTAGTTGCCAGTACATAACATTTTCACACTGAACTCTAAACAGTGTACATAGATTAGTTGCCAGTACATAACAGTTTCACACTGAACTCTATACAATGTACATAGATTAGTTGCCACTACATAATAGTTTCACGCTGAACTCTAAACAGTGTACATATATTAGTTGCCAGTGCATAACAGTTTAACACTGAACTCTAAACAGTGTACATATATTAGTTGCCAGTACATAACAGTTTAACACTGAACTCTAAACAGTGTACATAGACTAGTTGCAAATCATATTTACTATTTTTAGATATAAACTTATTATGGGTAAGTCACATTTCTATTCTCTTGGAAAATTATTTATGAAAAAGGCTCTTTAAGGGCCTTTTACTCTTACGACATTGGATAAATTCTTTTGATGTATTTGATATTTAGGGTTTAACAGTAGCTGGATTATATACACAGTCCCTTTAAACTTTCTTCTTTGATGGTTGTAATTAGTTTAAACCGAGCCCAGGATTATCTCTGCATCTTTAAGTCTGCATCTAACGGAAATTATAAATGCGGTTTCAACAGAAATGCAAAAGATGCATAAATGCAATTTGTATTCAAAAGAAGTTTTATATTTCAAAGGATTGAAAATATTATTTTTCCTTTGGGCTAGAGGAATGTTTTATAAGCCTGCATCATATAAATACATTAAACATTAAAAAAAATTTGAGTTTTAATTGCCAAATAAAAATAAACTGTTGGCTTCCAGGTGGGGTCGACTCTCATTTTTTACAGTGAGAACCAAACATAGATTGGTAACAATACAGATTTGCAGATTGAACACTAGATGTCGTCTTTTCAAGATTTAGGGGGTTTACGTTCACAATAACACCGAGGCAGAGGCCCAAAGGAGATACGCGAATGCTCTCTTTTTGTCTTGTAATTTAACGCTGTCTGCGCGGCCTTCCTTTGGGCTTTTACCTCAGGTTTTTAGTGAACGAAAAAGCCTTAAATATCTGTATTGTTATTAATCTATGAAACCAAGAACTCTAGAATAGGAAGACTCAAGTTCGGAATTAAGAAAGTCTATTGTACATGAGAAACAGGAACTGTGAACATGAGACACAGCAACTGTGAACATGAGACACAGCAACTGTGAACATGAGACACAGCACATAAGACACAGCTACTGTGAACATGAGACACAGCAACTGTGAACATGAGACACAGCAACTGTGAACATGAGACACAGCAACTGTGTACATGAGACACAGCAACTGTGTACATGAGACACAGCAACTCTGTACATGAGACACAGCAACTGTGAACGTACATTATTTGATAAAGTATTGCTGTCAGGTTTACTTCCTATTCCTCATTGGTTCTCATTGTAGAAAAATAAAATACTTGTTTTTAGCTTTGATTTTCGAGAGGTAATTAGCAAATGCTCAAAGAGTTTTGTATCAGAGTTTGCAATCTTTGGATCACAGTGAGTTAGTCAGGTAAAATCATTGATCAAGGTATTGCGGCACTTTTATGTCAACCCAGAGTCCGGACATAACAATTGATGCAATTTTACATAATAGTCTGAGTTGACATTTATTAGATACAAACCCACCAACAGAAAAGAGACAGATATGTAAATAAATTTGTTAAAGGGAGTGTTTGCGTAAAATTGAAGGGGGTATAGGCGGATCTCGAATTTAATTCAGTTTTGATCACTACGGATTAGGTTGAAAAATTAAACTCCCTTTAATGTTTTCGCGAACACTCCATTTAAGAACACAAACCTCCTGCCCGTTTAGGAATTTTCCCTCTAGCCGGTATATTTAACCTAGGGTGGAGTAGTAGATCATGGTCATGGGACTCTAACCTAAAATAATAAAACAATCAGCGAGGATGCTGAACTACCTACCGCCGGTTCAAATCCTGAATCACCAGTTTAAATACTCTTAAATCGTAACTTTTATTCGGTGATGCAAGATTTGAACCGGCAGTGCTGGCGACCTGGTTTAAATTCATTTTTATTATATTTAATTATTTACCTGTAGAAGTTGTATCTATACTTCATCTCTCCTCCGCTCCATCGGAACTTTATCTCTTCAATCTCAGCTGGTATCACAGGTAGATGGGTCTCCAGGTTCCTAGACATACTGAAGTTGTACCTGTACCTGTACCTGTACCTGTACCTGTACCTGTACCTGTACCTGTACCTGTACCTGTACCTGTACCTGTCTAGTAGATGTGGCATGACCAGTCCATTAGCTACAACGTGTATAATTATATGCTGGATACCAGCAAACAAGGAAACCTGGTCCAGGGACTCAAATAGAAAAAATAAATACGGAAAAATAAAACAAAATTCAAAAATATTTATTTTAGGGTAAAAAACAATTTTTTTGAAAACATTTGGCGTTTAACTAAAAAAACAGACTATAGAATTCTTTATTCACAAATAAGAAATGTCTAACTTACTTCTTATCGAATAGCGTATGCAGTGGGATATTTCAATAGGAAAAACATTTCTATAGGAAGACGACTGTTAGTTATGATTATTAATAGTGTCCTATGAACCAAACTTAAATGAATTATGAATTGTACACAGACCTATTCCACTTATAAAGATAGTTTTCAAGCAATTAGTAAAACTTTTTGCTTCATAACAACATCAAATAAACCATGGATATACAATAGAAAATAAACATACTTGATAGCTTAAATGTCGTCTTCCTATTCTAATTTTTCGAAATTTATTCGTAAAGTTTTTATTTGAAAGTATTCCACTTTAAAAGCCTGTTCATTTGAAGTACCGTACTGACTTAAGGAAGCTGGGGCAAGTTGTACAATGTACATTACACATACAGACTATATACTGCCAAACGGTACAGTACACATACAGACTATATACTGCCAAACGGTACAGTACACATACAGACTATATACTGCCAAACGGTACAGTACACATACAGACTATATACTGCCAAACGGTACAGTACACTTACAGACTATATACTGCCAAACGGAACAGTACACCAAATGAATCATGTCCATCTTGTAAGATTATTGTGATTCATGTTTAGAGTTTAAAATTCTATTTGTTGTATCCTGACCTGCTCCTCATCTATCCAAATAGATAGATCTTCAACAGGTTGTATTATCCCGGAGAAATCATCCGTCCTCATCAAATATAATGTCAGTTCACGTTAAACTAATTACAGGGTGTCCCTCATCAAATATAATGTCAGTTCACGTTAAACTAACTACAGGGTGTCCCTCATCAAATATAATGTCAGTTCACGTTAATCTAACTACAGGGTGTCCCTCATCAAATATAATGTCAGTTCATGTTAAACTAACTACAGGGTGTCCCTCATCAAATATTAATGCCATTTCACGTTAAACTAACTACAGGGCGTCCCACATCAAATATAATGCCAGTTCACGTTGATCTAACCACAAGGTGTCCCACATCAAATAAAATGTCAGTTCACGTTAATCTAACTACAAGGTGTCCCTCATCAAATATAATGTCAGTTCACGTTAATCTAACTACAAGGTATCCCTCATCAAATATAATGTCAGTTCACGTTAATCTAACTACAAGGTATCCCTCATCAAATATAATGTCAGTTCACGTTAATCTAACTACAGGGTGTCCCACATCAAATAAAATGTCAGTTCACGTTAATATAACTACAGGGTGTCCCACATTATATTAGATAGTTTATAGCTTTAAATTGACATTTTCGGGACCGATAAGAAAATTTTAAAAGAATGAATCATTTCTAAAAATTGATTAAGGCTAATATTTAAATTTGAATGCAGAATTTACTAGGTTTTTCTAATAAAATGTGAGTATTTATTTTGGCGCGAAAGCTTGAAGCTAATCCAATATGATCTGACTTTAAACCTTGATTTATAGATTGGAAATGAATTGATTGTATTCTGCTTGATATTCTTGATTCTCCTGTTCCTTCTCCTGCTGCTGGTCTCAGGTTCAGATTGGTTCACGGAACCCTGGACACCACCAACCAACAACATATATCCTCAAAGAATTGAGTCTTTGCAAAAAACTCAGAATTTTTAATCTGTGCAACCTGATGGTGTAAACCTTTGATTTGAGCTAACAGAACTTGTAGTTTGAATTATCAAAAGTCTACGACTTTGGGTTGCAAAAGTTTACAAACTAAATATTGAAGAAACTGAGTTCTTGCCACAAACTTACATTTTCTAATTATAAATAATTATAAATAATTCTTAATATTACCGTAACGCAAGAAACAAATATGGGCGTTTTCTTGCTCGACATGGTTGCGACGTTCATACAAAACGATCGTTTTTTTTGACAAATAAATGGGAAGCCATTGTGAATATTTTCATAGAATTATATTAAAAATTTAAAAAGTAAAAAAGATAAATAGTTATTATATTATTAAATTACCTGTGATAATAATAATGAAATTCATAATTATGATAAATTATCTGAAGTTTTTACAGTTTCCAGTTTCACTAATTAATCTCATTTAACTGTTCTGCTCAAACTTGTAAACTAATAATATCTACGGTCTTATTTCACATTTATCCGGCATTCTATAAATGTATTCCATCTGAAACATAAACGTATTTAAAGAATAATATGTTATTTTTGCTTTGTCAATATTGCGTACTTTAGAGAGAAATTATTCATTTTTTCTATTTTAACAACCTTTGATGTTAAAGGGACTGTAAGCGTAATTTCAAGTGACCTTCCATGCAAAGATGTGCAATGCCTGATTCACAACAGTACTCTCAAATGAATCCGAAAGAAGCTTTCCACAACACTGCATACTCAGTTCAACTACCTTACATAGCCGGTCACTCCCTTTAAAAGTTTTTAATTTGGATTCCCATGTGCCACCACTTTTTATATAGAAACGACAATTGAAAATAATTAGTTTTAAATATTTTTTTCATACTTGATCAGACAAAGCTTTACGCTTTACGCTTAACCAGTCCTTTGAAAAGCTTAGGCAGCATTTTTTTCCGAGAAACCTTGTAAATTATTTGTTTAGAAATGAAATATCTTTTAAAATCTAGATATTTATTTTACGTATCATTATAGTTTACAAGATTGTTAATATGGATTTAACACAAAAATTTTTTTTAAATACATTTAATAATACATTTATTTTTGTTTTTTCATGTCTGAATTGCTGGTAAATTTATATTCAAGTATTGGTAAAGCAGCAATTCGATAGAAAAAACTACATTATATATAAAAATGATGGCATTATTTTATGAAATCTGACTGGGAGATACTACAAACACAGTGTTATCTCTTATTGGAAAATGCTCTCAGTGTGTATGCTTTCATGTGAGCATACACGGGAGCGAGTTTCCATTTTAAACGTAAAGAAAATTAATTTGAGCTTCATAACGAAATGAAATATCATATGTTTGAAAATTGAACAGTATCTACTTCAAGAACTATACGTTTAACATTTTTTCGGCGGAAAAAAACTTATTTATCTCTTAATTAAACCCTCTGGTTGCTCATCACAGGTACAATTTTGTTAAATATTTTAATTGTAGATATTTAAATTAAAACCACCATTTTTCCAATAACAATATTCGGCTAACCATTTTATAATTAATATTTATTTAATATCTATATTTCTGGTTGTTCACTTCAACTGTGCTTGACTTGAACTGGTTTTGAAAGCCCTATATTGTATATATGTAAATTTACTGATTAACTAACTGATACCAGACCGGCCATTTTTCTTGCCCGGTGAGAGACAGTTCAGGGGTTTAACTTTAAACTGTTAGAGAGAGATATTGAGCGCTTTCTAGGCAACAAGGTTTATTTCATTCTTCTACAGTCTAAGCAGGGAACTTTTGAATCCTAGGAATGAATTAAACCCATTATTCCCTTCTCAAAGGAATTGAGTTCTTGTCCCAAACTCTGACTTTCTTTTCTCTATATTTTTGCAACCCCATATTGTATACCTTCAGTATGACAATCTTTGTAAACTGGTACTTTCCTCTTTTCGTTATCATAGTAGCAAACGTTGAAAATTAATTATTTAAAAAATTAATCAAATTCCTAGATTAAAAAAAATAATTCTTCAGGAAGAACACCATTAAGTGGGTAACTAGAAATGATATATTGTTTGTAAACATAAAAATAAACATAATTTTTATTATATTATCATCCCCGTTTACTTTAACAGTTAATTATTGAATCTACAAATCTTGAGAATTCCAAATTGTGGTTTACAATTTTTGCACCTTGGCGGAGATAAATAATATAAGAAATCCGTCGGATACCAATTTATTATTTTACAACAAAATCGTTCAATCTCCTTAAATTTTGAAATACAAAGAAGGTAGACCATATATCGGAAAGCTCATAAGCCGTAAAATTTTTATTTTGATACACTTTTTGTTACTTAACAATTATCGTCAAGCGAAGACGATTTTCAAGTCGTCTCTTGAATCCTTCTATTATTGGGACACCTTGGATACAGCTGTTTTTGCCGTTACAAATTAGAATTTTCCCAACGTAGTTTATAGTCCTAAGAAGGTACGACGACGACATAAATCATTCCGTAGTTTTCTGGTTACCAATGTATAACTATGTTCAACTTCCATATTTGAATTAAGAATATTACTGAGAGTCCCTGATGATGAGAAAGATGAGAAAGGAGATGGTGTTGATCTACAGGTGGTTGGAGGGGATATACAGATAACCAGGGGGATATATCAGACTTTCTCCAGATCAATACTAATATATAGGAGCTGGGTAGATTTGTGTACACATAATCCAGTACTATAGGAAGTAGTTAGAATACAGAGATTCTAATGAAGGAGTTGGTGAGATTTGCCACATAACTCAGCACTGGGGGGCAATTACAATACGAGATGTTAAGAAGAAATGCTCTTAAAGAGGTTTACTATAAATAAACATCATATTTAGTAAAAAAATTAGCAAGTGTAAAGGTGTGAAGGTTAATAGCTATCTGGTGTAAAAATTTGGAGGTTTAAAGCTAGCAGGCGTGAAGGTTTGAAGGTTTATAGCAAGGTGGTGTAAAGATTTAGAGGTTTATAGATAGCTGCTGTGAAGGGTAGGGGAAGTTTTGTAAGGGTTTATAGGGGTTTGTAGCTATTTGGTGCAATGGTTTGAAGGTTTATTACAGTGTAACCCTTAATAACGAATACATCGAAAGAATTCATCAAATGTCGTATTCTTCACTTTCTGATAATGGAATGTTGCAGATATTTTGTTTTTCAATTAAATGATTATATGGAAACCTTTAAAACTGTTCCCGCATATTCATGTCTATTTATTTATTTTCGCAAATACTGAAATTTACGTAATATAGTATAAAACTCATTGAAAAATTGTCAAGACGACATTTGATAAATTCTTCCGATGTATTCGTTATTAAGGGTTTCACTGTACTAGCTGGTGAAAAGGTTTAGAGTTTTATAGCTAGCTGGTATAAAGGTTTAGAGGTTTTTCGCTGGCCGCTTTAAAGGTTTAGAGATTTATAGCTAGCTAGTGTAAAGGTTCAGGGGTTTATAGCTAGCTAGTGTAAAGGTTTAAAGGTTATAGCTAGCTGGTGTGAGGGGTATGAGAAGGTTTGTAGCTAGCTGGTGTAAAGATTTAAAGGTTTATAGCTAGCTGGTGTGAAGGTTTAAAGGTTTATAGCTAGCTAGTGTAGAGGTTTAAAGGTTTATAGCTAGCTGGTGTGAAGTTTTAAAGGTTTATAGATAGCTGGTGTAAAGGTTTAAAGGCTTGTAGCTAGCTGGTGTAAAGGTTTAAAGGTTTATAGCTAGCTAGTGTAGAGGTTTAAAGGTTTATAGCTAGCTGGTGTAAAGTTTTAAAGGTTTNGATAATAAACACCCCTTTCAAAATCCTAACCGGCCTATTATCCGGATTTGTCTAGCGTGTTGCTGTTATCTGTCAACAAGCTTGTGTAAAGTTTAAAAGGTTTATATAAATTCTTGGCTGAGAACATGGTATACCTTTTGGACATACATTCAGTAAAAGAAATTTGGATTTTGGCCTAGAGTTTAGAGATGCATGACAGCTAATTGAGAAAACGTGGGTCTTGTACAGGGGTTTGATTTAATCAGGTTGGAAACATATATACATCTCTTTGCTGGGTTTTTAGCTCTGGTCGGATATATCCAGGTTCATATCTAGACACGTTTAACAGATGTAGGAAGTGAAACTTTCGGCGTGAGAATCCAGGGGAGGGGGAGGGGTGGAGAAACTTTAAACCATTCAGTTCTGCTTTACTACTTACCTAGAGAACATTTCTCATGTTAGTCAAACCATGATCTAACCTTGATATTGAATTATTAGAGCTGATCAATCTTTTTAAAACTCGCCAATCATATTTTTTTACCCTTTTTTCCTTAGCTAGGTTCTTTACATGCTTGTTGTAATATAGTGGATATTATCGTGGACTGTGTGTATAACATATTCGAAACATGTTTCAAATTTAATCATTTTCAAGGTTTTCAAAAGAATTTCAACATGATTGTTTTTCAGAGAAACGTAAAAATGATGTGAAACTCTAAACTAAACATATCCAATATGTGATGAAGAGAAACCATGTTATGGCGCATTCTTCTATCTATCTATCTTTCTATGGTTACTGCCTGAGCTGAGTACCGAACCGTAGATGAATTCTACCTGCTTTAGTTGGAATTAAACTTCCTGGCCCGGAGCAGTAGACACACTAGTAGGAGATACAAACAGTTACACATATACCCGGAGAAACCAAACCTTGCTCCCGTCCCGTCTCAGAGGTAAAAAATTGTCACTGAAAGTGATAAGGTTTAATGTAAGCTCCGACAACTAGTGCCAAGTGAAGTTAGATTTAATGGACGCACATTTGTTATACTTTCCGATCCAAGAGGTGAAGAGGAGAGAATATAGTTGGATTTATATTTATATTCTAAACCATGGTTCTCTCCTAATAATTCTAAATGTAATTACTCTTGTGTATTATTTCGGTAGGAGATTGTTATTTACTTTAAGTTTAAAATGTCGAATTTATTCTGATCAGTGATGCATGAAAAGCAATTAGTGTTTTGTCCCCTATAGGACAGAATAGGATTGAAACCCGTCCCAACTATTTTTAATCATCAGGATAAATAGATTCCTTCCTACCCCTCTCCTAGTATAGATCATAGACTCACATTCATTATCCTAATGTATTGAATAATTACTGGGTGTAGAGATTACAATATAATCCGTTCTAATATTCTGTTTCTAATATCTACTATCTACGATATATTCTGTTTCTAATATCTACTATCTACGATATATTCTGTTTCTAATATCTACTATCTAGATATATTCTGTTTCTAATATCTACTATCTACGATACATTCTGTTTCTAATATCGACTATAAACGATATATTCTGTTTCTAATATCGACTATCTACGATATATTCTGTTTCTAATATCTACTATCTACGATATATTTTGTTTCTAATATCTACTATCTACGATATTTTTATTCTGTTTCTAATATCTACTATCTAGATATATTCTGTTTCTAGTATCTACTATCTACGATATATTCTGTTTCTAATATCTACTATCTACGACTAAAGAAATAAATATAGGAACCACAATGAAACATTGTGAATGAACTACTCATCGGAAGAATAAACAATTTGGTGTCCAAATGAAATTGAGCCGCGGCTTAAATCTGCCAAAAATCGGTTTCATTTGAGCGCCGGCTTAAATCTAAAAAAAAAATACAATTTTAAGTGGAATCAACTATATTTGAGCCGCGGCTTAAATTTAAGCCGTTGTTTCCTTTAAACAGAAAGCTAAAAAGTTGATACCTCCAAGACGACCTGTAATTCTGATAAATAGAACACAAAAGTAGGAAGAACAAAAGAAAGTAGAAAGTGTTAAAATTTCAAGAAAGAGAAGGATGAAAGATTCAAATCGATAAATGGAATAGGATCAGAGGTAGGAGTGGGACAAAAGAAACGAAATATTTTTAAGCTAGAACTTAAAACATATCTACACGCACATCATACGACAGACGGTATAAATACTATTAACACAATATGGTATAGCATCAGTATAATACTGATTATCTTAAAGATTGAGAAGAGAGATTAGAAATTGAAAGTTAGAGGATTGGGATTTTGAGATCTGACATTAAGCATTAAGAGCTGACATTTATAGGACTCAAAATATGAAATTAAAAAAATCAGAATAAAGATACAAAGTTCAAAAATGGAGATTCGAAACTTTAGAGATAAGGTACAGTTTACCTCAGAGTCATTGAAAAACTTTATGAAATGTCGTCTTGGCAAATTTTGAATGGGTTTTATACTATTATACGAAAATCTCAGTGATATGAATATGCGGGGGCAGTTTTAAGAGCTTCATATAATCATTTAATTAAAAACTAAATATATGCATCATTCCATTATCAGAATATTAAGAATACGACATTTTAAAATTTCTTCCGATGTCTCTCGAAACATGACAGTTGGTGAATAGTTTTGAATGTCTTCTTCAATATGCTTCCTTGGATATATTTTAGACTTTTTGCAGTTTGTCTTGTTAATAAAATCTTTTACTCAAATATACTTTACTTTGAAATCAGTTTTATAATAATATGACTGCCGTATAATATCTTTTGTTATTCTCTTTATTATCAAACAGCCAAACAAATTATGGAAGAAGACATTTTAAACTATGCACTAACTTTCATGTTTCTTGGGACACCCTGTCTTTGAACTTAACTGAAGCACATTTTAGAATCTGAAATAAACTGTGGAATAGGAAGACGACATTAAAGCAATACTGAAGTACATTTGATTTTGTTACACAGCAAATAGCTTTACTAGTAAGTTATTAAATCATTTATTAAGTGAAATAGGTCTCTGTACACTACACAATTGCTCTTATTTCTTGTAAATTGGTCCATTTAAAGTCATAACTTGAGTCTAAAAGTCGCTTCATATTCCAAAGTTTTCTGATTNGGGTTCAAGATAAACATAATAACATTTTTAAATAAAAAAAATGATATTGAGGAAAATTGTAATTTAATAAGATCTAAGATTATCTTATCTGTGCTATCAAGTTACGCTCAAAACTTTATTTTTATTTAAGATTTTAAAGAAAATTAGTTTCAAGGTTTATTTGTTAAATACTGACTGTATTGTTTGTATATAAGAATGCTTTACCGGGGCGGGGCTTTTAAAAAATCAAGTTATTTTTGTCACGTTTGAAAAACATGTTTTTATGTTTTCATGTAATTTGCCGGGATAAAAACAATCCAACAAAACTAAACATGTGTTTTGGGAATTTATTCGAAATTTCGTAAAAAACTAACTTAACAAATGTGAAATGACCCGTTGAATTTTCAGAGTACGTTCGTTAAAAATATGCCAGCTTACTTTATAGGCATCTTTTAAACCTTAAAATTTACATACTTTAGGTAGAAAAGATTAAAATTCTTTAGTTTTAACTTTTCAGGAGGAAAAAGTTAGATATATCCGTCAAACATCGCGGATGTGAATGATTGATTGCACTCTTTAAGTATATAGGGTCACTTCAAATTACAATGACAACCCCTTTAATAATGCACATGCACCAGGAAAGCACCAGACATGCACCTAGTAATCCTCTGATTGAATACTATGGTGGTCCCGTATACACTATACAATACGTTTACTAGAACCCTTATACAGTGCCAGCAGATCATTTGTCCTTAATTCTTAGCAGATTAATAGTCTTTCATTCATCAGTATTATTGGCCTTGATTCGTCTGCATTATAGTCCTTGATTTATCTGTATTATAGTCCTTGATTCATTTGTATTCTAGTCCTTGACTCATCTATATTATAGTCCTTATTCATCTGTATAATAGTCTTTGATTCATCTGTATAATAGTCTTTGATTCATCTGTATTATAGTCCTTGATTCATCTATATTATAGCCCTTGACTCATCTATATTATAGCCCTTGACTCATCTATTTTATAGTCCTTGATTCATTTGTATTCTTTTTCTTGATTCAACTATATAATAGTCCTTGATTTATCTGTTTTATAATCCTTGATTGATAAGTATTAAAGACCTTGATTAATCTGTATTAAAGTCCTTGATTCAACTGTATTAAAGACCTTGATTCATCTGTATTAAAGTCCTTGATTCATCTGTATTAAAGTCCTTGATTCATCTGTATTAAAGTCCTTGATTAATCTGTATTAAAGTCCTTGATTAATCTGTATTAAAGTCCTTGATTAATCTGTATTAAAGTCCTTGATTAATCTGTATTAAAGTCCTTGATTCATCTGTATTAAAGTCCTTGATTCAACTGTATTCTAGTCCTTGATTCAACTATATAATAGTCCTTAATTCATCTGTATTATATACCTTGATCATAGAGAATAGAATAAATAGAGAGGAATTTACTGGAAAAAAGTGTAAAACGGCCATTTTGTTGTACTGTTACCATACTGCAGGTGTACTTCACATATTTATGCTATATAACCTGTTGGGCCCTGGAATATCATTTTATAGAAAATCTAAAATTATTTGACCAATTATCATCTCATATAGACTCTATGCCTTTCACTTTACAAACAAAGATTTTCCGTTATAACTATAAATCAAATGATGTTTTTATTCACCTAATTCATTATAAAATTTATTTAACAGTTTAAAAAATTCGAAATTGAAATGAATATTCTAGGGAACATACTGTATTAGTGTACTCTACTGCATATAATTTGTAAACATTTACATGATGTGTACACTTTGAACTCCCTTTCAGGCTTAAAGGGACTGAAAAAATTCATACCGAGAGATTCTTTTAATTCCTCTCTATATATTCTATTCTCTATGACCTTGATTCATCTTTTCTATGGTCCTTTGATTTATCTGTATTATATCCCTTGATTCATCTGTATTATAGTCCTTGATTCATCTGCATTATAGTCCTTGATTCATCTGTATTATAGTCCTTGATTCATCTGTACTATGGTCCTTTTGTTTATCTGTTTATAGTCTTTGATTAATCTATTTTAAAATCCTTGAATGATCTAAATTAAAGTCTTTGAATCGACTGTTTCAGTCTGTCTTTAAAAATGTTGTTAGACCTTAGCTTTGTAGCAAATCTTTTTTGATAGCCAGTAATTTCTCTTCCTGTGACGTACAAAATGCCTTTTTATTAGATTTTTTAGGATACACGTTATTTTGAGGCGAAAAAAAGATTTCCTGATAAAAAGTCAAAATGAAAAACTACGAAAAAACTGCGTCAACCAATTCTGGAAGTTAACAATGAAAACTTCGTTTACGCAATGATTTCTGAACCCTTGGATCTGTGATTGATAGAAGATTGATATATAAGAAATTGCATCCTGTGTATACTATAAGCCGACTTCTGGAAACCTAATATACCTTGATATATGCAGATTAGGCAGTAAACTGCCTGTATTACATGAATCCTCTTCAAGATTTGAAAATTCTTCATTAATCCGCGAACAAACTGTAATCTAAGATTTTCCTTCCTGCAGGAACATACCATGGTTGCGTATAATTAACATGCAGAATGAATGCGTAGTGCGTACACGCTTACGGGGATTGTATGGCTTAGATGCGTATTCCGTATTATGGCCTAGAAGGAAATTTGTTTAACGTTTGATAGTTTCTAGATAAGTTTATCTAACTAAAACTTTTTTTCTGGTCTCAATATCCTTTCCTTAACTTTATATCCATTTCTTCACTTTATATCCTTTCCTTCACTTTATATCCTTTCCTTCACTTTATATCCTTTCCTTCACTTTATATGCTTTCTTTCACTTTCTATCATTTCCTTCACTTTATATCCTTTCCTTCACTTTATATGCTTTCTTTCACTTTCTATCATTTCCTTCACTTTATATCCTTTCCTTCACTTTATATCCTTTCCTTCACTTTATATCCTTTCCTTCACTTTATGTCCTTTCCTTCACTGTATATCCTTTCCTTCACTTTATATCCTTTCCTCACTTTATATCCTTTCCTTTACTTATATCCTTTCCTTCATTTTATATCCTTTCCTTCACTTTATATTCTTTCCTTAATTTATATCCTTTCCTTCACATTATATCCTTTCCTTCACTTTAAATCTTTCCTTCACTTTATATCCTTTCCTTTACTTTATATCCTTTCCTTCATTTTATATACTTTCCTTCACTTTATATCCTTTCCTTCACTTTATATCCTTTCCTTCACTTTCTATCCTTTCCTTCACTTTATATCCTTTCCTTCACTTTCTATCCTTTCCTTCACTTTATATCCTTTCCTTAACTTTATATCTTTTCCTTCACTTTCTTTATTTCTTTAACGCGCCAAATTAAAGTAAATTTCATGTAATCTCGAAATCTTAGATGTGTTCAATCATAATTCCGCTTATTCAGGATCTATTTTGAGAACAACAACAATACATTTGGATACATTTTCTCATACATTGGCGTAAACTCAATACTAGAGTAGATACGAGGTCAAGAAGTCGAAGCAATTATGTCGCGTGAATTTCACTCTCTCCTTCTGCCTAGTTGTTTTTAATTTTATCGATGTTGAATTCGTTTTAAAATATTTGTTAATTTTCAAGTAAAAATATCTTTCATAAATATAGTTGCCAATTAAGTACAAAAAATTAACATAGCTATATCCTTAGTTTCCTTTTTTCTTCGCTGAATTTAAATTTTCAGTTTTTGACCCCCCCCCGCACCTAGCCCCCTTGCTGCATATCCAATTATACATTCCATTAAATTTCTAAACCCTGTAATTTGTGAAGTGAATAAACGATTCAAGTTGCAAAAGTCCAAGTTTGTTTCCTGTTTAGAAAAAGGCTTGGAATGTGTACATTATTCAGAATGTGTACATGCATAGCTGCATTCAATAGATAGATAGATAGATAGATAGATAGATAGATAGATAGATAGATAGATAGATAGATAGATAGATAGATAGATAGATAGATAGATAGATATCAAGGACCAGCAAAGTCTGATGGAATGGTTCTGAAGCTGTATTGTATTGTATACCTGGATAAGGCCTATTCAAAGTCAAGTGTACACTGTACAGTTGGGAAAATAAAATTCTGAAAAGAAATTGAGTTGTTGCCACTATCTAAAATTTTCTAATCCCTGTATCTGATGGTGTAAACCTTTCATGCTTCAAACTTAAAATATATGATTCAAGAAAATTCATAATTTGAAAAATCTATGGTCTACGATATTGACTTGTAAAGATAAAGGGATAATAAAATCAGACTTTGTTACAAAAACACACAATTCCTTTTTTCAAAATTTTACAAATGAATCGAAATGAAACGAAGGTGGATTAACTTGAATGGATGTTTAACTGTAACTAGGCGTGAATTGGCATTTTAATAACAGATGGTTTATATCCCTGCAGGTTTATATCCCTGTAGGTTTATATCCCTGCAGGTTTATATCCCTGCAGGTTTATATCCCTGCTAGTTTATATCCCTGCAGTTTATATCCCTACAGGTTAATATCCTTGTAGGTTTATATCCCTGTAGGTTTATATCCCTGTAGGTTTATATCCCTGCAGTTTATATCCCTACAGTTAATATCCTTGTAGATTTATATCCCTGCAGGTTTATATCCCTGCAGGTTTATATCCCTGTAGGTTTATATCCCTGCAGTTTATATCCCTGCAGGTTTATATCCATGCAGGTTTATATCCATACAGGTTTATTTCCCTGCAGGTTTATATCCCTACAGGTTTATATCCCTGCAGGTTTATATCCCTTATCCCTGCAGGTTTATATCCATGCAGGTTTATATCCATACAGGTTTATTTCCCTGCAGGTTTATATCCCTACAGGTTTATATCCCTGCAGGTTTATATCCATGCAGGTTTATATCCCTACAGGTTTATATCCCTGCAGGTTTATATCCATGCAGGTTTATATCCATACAGGTTTATTTCCCTGCAGGTTTATATCCCTACAGGTTTATATCCTTGCTGGTTTATATCCCTGCAGGTTTATATCCCTGCAGGTTTATATCCCTGCAGGTTTATATCCCTGTAGGTTTATATCCCTGCAGGTTAATATCCCTGCAGGTTTATATCCCCGCAGGTTTATATCCCTGAAGTATACATAGCATTATCTAATCTAAACTGTAGAACTACTACAATTTTATAAAATATATACATATAAAGAGGAGCTACGAGGTCACCAAGCCGCACATTAGTTAAACCTTTTCTAGATTGAAGTGAATCAAAGATTCTACCATGAAAAGGCCAGTTTCAAATTTAGGACCAAATTCAACCTTCATATCGTTATATCGCTATATCAAAGAGTTTTTTTGTCGTTATTAAAGACACATTATTTGTGAATAACTGTATCTACTATGCATGGAGTAAAAACTACATATTGCTATATCTTAAAATATTATATTAACTGCAATATCTCAATATATAGTGTTAACTGCAGTAAAGAGAGTTAGGTGCAGTCTATAGACACTATATATTAGTTCACTCTACATATAAAGTATGCAAAGGAGTTGAGTTTTTGGCGCAAACTCTTATTTTCTAATCTCTATATCTCTGTAATCCAATGTCGTAGACCTTAGATATTTCAAACTATTAATACTTATAAATTAAATAGTCTAAGTTTGAAATATCAAAGTTTTGCACCATAAGATTACAAAGATATTGGAATCAGAAGATTTTAGTTTGTGGCAAAAACTCAATTCCTTTTTATCTCTGTAATACAATGTCGTAGACCTTAGATATTTCAAACTATTAATACTTATAAATTAAATAGTCTAAGTTTGAAATATCAAAGTTTTGCACCATAAGATTACAAAGATATTGGAATCAGAAGATTTTAGTTTGTGGCAAAAACTCAATTCCTTTGCAGAAAAACTTAACCCTTCCCGTCTGGGTACTTGAAACCCTGTGAATGCGCAGGGGGAGGGTGTGGATATGATATTCTGGATAAATTTACATAACACGTTTTAAACATTGATATTGTTAATTAAAAAAAGTTCAAGCATATTTTGCTATTTTTTCGTAGCAATCTGATTTTACGTCATTTATGATTTAACTTTAGGATAAACCTGCTAGCTTTCCGACAAGATGTAGGAAATCTTTGATATGTAAAACTATGAATTATGCAAAACAAAATTGGCATAGTTTAAAATATCAAAGTTTTACTGTACCTGGTTGCAAAGATATACAATTAGAAGATTTGCGAATGCTGCGGATTATTAGTTCCTGCAATCTTTCGAATGTTTTCGTTTCTATATTCTCTGTGTTATCCTCGAACTCGTATAGGCTGAAATTAAAGTTGGAACGGATTTAAAGAGGATATTATATATTGTGTAAGGACGTACGCTAAGGGGGCGAGTCTGGGTTGAAGGCTGGGGGCCACAGTATTTTCTCCTCTGTATTGATTAAACTGCCTGAAGAGCAATCATGCATAGGATAAAAAATGTATTCGGACACAAATATAATTAGATTGATGGATAGATAGAAATATATATAACAAGTAGATGGATAGATAGTCAAATATATTTATAGATACTTAATTAGATTTAAACAACAAAATGAATAGATCTTACAAGCAAAGAAATATATTTAAAGATACCCCACCCCCATAGATTTTATTTATTCATATTCATATATAGCAGATGTTTTACATTTTAAAAAGGTTCTTTAGCAAAGTTCGCATCAATTACATTTTTAAATAAATCCTAGCACTGTAAACTAGATAGACGGAGAAGGTAAAATTTATACAATATCACAGTTTGTGACCTTGTAGCTCCTCTAGTTTTGATTTTAAGAACAGTACGAGAGAAGAAAACTTATCATGCATAATATCAAATTAAGAACGTAAAAGATTACAATTTACTTGTATTTAACGTGATAGAAATCATATTTAGGAATGTGATTAAATTGTATAAAGTGATGCTTTGAACCTGCCGCATGTTTGTGTACAGCACATACAGGATGTCACAGTTTATATCACAGTTGATAAAAAGCCGAGACAGCTTGACAGCTATCCAATGACAGAATTTGGATTAAAAATGTTAAACGAATTATAAGCTTAGCATAATGGAATTTTTACTCAAAGATAAAAGACGATCTTCAATTCATATCTCAAATGTTATGTTTTGTGGGACACCTTGTATATATAGGCAGTTGAAGGAAAAATATTTAGATGTATACTCGCAAATATGGAAAATATTTATCAACAATATTATTTCAGGGTCGTAATGTGATACAGTTAGAGGACTACCACAGATACACAACAAGCAGAGAGAGAAAAGAGAGTGAGAGAGAGAGTTACTAGAGCGGTCGTCTTTCTTCAACAAAAATAAGAAGGTATTTGTAAAATATGTGAACTCTAAGATTGTTTTTAGTCTAGTTATTCAAAAATACATTTCTTTAAAAAACATATGATCCCAAATGCTTGTATCATCATGTATCATGATCGGGCACCCTTTAACAAAAATTGACGTTAAAAAACAAATGATCTCAAATATTTTATTTTATTTTTTCTTCCAAAAAATTTAATTAAGATGAATCATGAATTAATTATAAACCGATTGTTATTGTTACCATTTTTTTTTCTTTCGGATATTTCTGATTGTTCAGTGCATTCTAGGGTTTAATTAAAGTATTGCATTTATTCAGGACCTTTCGGCTTTCTCCAATATTCTGAAAGGTCTATAACAGATTCTAAGTTGAATGTGGAATTTAAACGCATGATACCCGAACACTTAATTACCTGAATACCTAAGTTCACAAACACACCCAAATATTGTACGCTTATCAATTTGGATCAGTCAAGGAGTATGAAATAGAAGGGAGATACAACTGACGCGGCCCGCCCTCACTACCATATGATTATGCTTTGCAGACGGTACTCCATTTGTATAAGAAATATTTACCTGATGTACAATTACCGCGTATACAATAACCTATTCAGAATATTTCTTTTACAAATGGAGTACCCGTTGTATAATCATATGGTAGGGCGGGCCTCGTCAGTTGTACCTCCCCTCTATTTCATACTCCTTAGCTAGAAAATTCTTAAATCCATACTGCATTGCTATTTTAACAAAAATAATGTGGCTCACCTTGTACATCATAACCTCTGTTTTTGCTATCTTAAAACTTACATAAGTAATTAATTTCCGGTCTTATCACTCCTGTATTGGTTACCTTATCTCTTTTCTCTTATCAGAATATATTCAGTAAATACTATTTTTCAGGAATGTAAAGAGTTGGAGAAAAGAGAAGAAGGAGAAGAAGGAGAAGAAAAGAATAATTCAATATGTTTAAAGCCAACTATATGGACAGTAACTGTCTCCGGTGTAACAAGACTGTCTACCCCACGGATAAGATTGGTCCTCTAAAAGACTATTCGTTTTTTCACAGCGGTTGCTTCCGCTGCGTAGAGTGCAGTTCAAAACTAACCCTAAAAACATATTTTAACAATCAGCATTCAAATGATGATAAGGAAGTGTACTGCAGTACTCATGTACCTAAAATAGGAGCCGGGCATCTAAACCAAGAAGCTCTAGGTATAAAAGCTGCTCTAAATGTCCCCCGGTTGAATCAGTTTGTGAATGAACAAATTCGACCAGGAGGGAAATCTCAGTTTGATTCTGAAGCAATCGCCATAAAAGCGCATCTGAACAACAGAATTCATAATCATCAGGATAAGGTTGATGTTAACTCTAACAATGGATATCATGAGAAGTCCCGGAACTGGGGCAGGTTTGATTCCTCTGCCCTACATATACAACATGCTCTTAAGCAGACTGCGGTACAGAAGAAATATCATAAACCTCATGCTCAAGCTATCAACTCATTCTTGGTAAATATTCAACATTTAATCAATTACAGTGATCGATAACCAAAAAACTATGTCCTTAGCATTTCTAGAAATATCAGTTGAATCAATCAAAAATCAAAAAAAGGGAAATATTATATTTTAAAAAAAGGAACGAAGATGACAATTATTGCAAAGTTTTCTGGCTATTATGGGTTCATATTTGGTTCAAATGATTTTTATTCATCAATGTTTATTACACTGTTACAATGTTTATTTGACTAATCACTACCAAACCAACCCTTGACTTATCACTACAAAACCAAACCTTGACTGATCACTACCAAACCAAACCTTGACTTATCACTCCCAAACCAAACCTTGACTTATCACTCCCAAACCAAATCTTGACTTATCACTACAAAACCAAACCTTGACTGATAACTACCAAACCAAACCTTGACGTATCACTCCCAAACCAAACAAACCTTGACTTATCACTCCCAAACCAAATCTTGACTTATCACTACTAAACCAAACCTTGACTGATCACTACCAAACCAAACCTTGAATTATTACTACCCAACCAAACCTTGACTACTCACTACTGAACCAAATTTTGACTCATTACTGCAAATCAAAACCTTGACTTATCACTACCATACTAAACCTTGATTAATCACTACCAAACCAAACCTTAATTTATCACTACCAAACTAAACTTTGACTAATCACTACTAAACCAAACCTTGACTTATCACTACCAAACCAAACCTTGCTTTTCACTACTAAACCAAACCTTGACTAATCACTACTAAACCAAACCTTGACTAACCACTCCCAAACCAAATCTTGACTTATCACTACTAAGTAAAATCTTGACTTATCACTACCAAACCAAACCTTGGCTAATCACTATTAAACCAAATCTTGACTTATCACTGCTAAACCAAACCTTGACTTTTCACTACTAAACCAAACCTTGACTTATCACTTTTAAACCAAACCTTGACTTTTCACTACCAAACCAAATCCTGACAAATCACACCCAAACCAAACCTTGAAGCTCGGAAATGGGACACGCAGTGATGTTCTGATATTGTAGATTTCAATATTGAAAGATTGCAAACCTTCCCTTTAGCCTTGAATATTAAAAATAAACTAATGCATCCAACAATGAATAAACTACTCTGCACGGAAGAAATGAAAAGAGTTTTATTGTTGCAAGGATGGAAGGTTTTACAACGATGTCGTAACATTTCACCAATAAAATAGAAATAAACGAAGCTAGAGTTTTCCAGATGTATCACAATGTTAATAAAACAGCATGTGTGGTTTCTGATAAGAGATGAACATATTGTATTACCATTTTCAAAACATTGGTTATGTAATCTCTAACATAACTCAAAATACACGAGAATAATTACTTTTTTAGGGATTTTTAAAATTTTCAATAATAATTTGATATGTAAAGTAAGAAAAGTCCAATTTGAAATGAGAAACCATTGAAATGTATAAATATGTTGCTCAGCACTGCTCTCCCTCAAAATTGATTTAGTTTTAAATTGTTAAATATTTCTTTAACGGAAACCATTTTTCGGAAATATCATTTAAAAATCAAGCATGTCAAATTTTGGGAATAGTCCTGTTTTATCGGTAGATTTTCAAAAATTTTCAAAATTTGGGCTTCAACAGTTTAGCTGCGTTTTGACGTTTATTGGATAGAAAAAGAGAAGCAACCGAAAAAAAGGAAATGATGGACAAAAATTCAAAGTTCGGCCACCGATGTATAAATACTGTAAGATCTTCCGCCGACGAAAATGGGTTAGAGAAAAGATTTATTATTATCAAGCACGTGCCAACTCATTGTGTTCGATTCTTAAAATAATTATTCAGCTCTAACAAATGAAATCTAATTTGAAAAAGTGTCCAATTAATAATTAATTTGCATAATCAAGGCATGACTTACAAGTAGCTTAGGGACTAAATACTAAACATAAGAACATAAACTATACCTAGAGTACATAAACTAAACCTAGAGTACATAAACTATACCTAGAGTACAGACCTAAACATAAGAACATAAACTACACCTAGAGTACAGACCTAAACATAAGAACATAAACTGTACCTATAGTACAGACCTAAACATAAGAACATAAACTATACCTAGAGTACAGACCTAAACATAAGAACATAAACTATAACTAGAGTACAGACCTAAACATAAGAACATAAACTATACCTAGAGTACAGACCTGAATATAAGAACATAAACTATAACTAGATTACATAAACTACACCTAGAGTACAGACCTAAACATAAACTATACCTAGAGTACAGACCTAAACATAAACTATATACCTAGAGTACAGACCTAAACATAAACTATACACTTAGAGTATTGACCTGAACATAAACTATACACTTAGAGTATGGACCTAAACATAAACTATATACCTAGAGTACAGACCTAAACATAAACTATACACTTAGAGTATAGACCTGAACATAAATTATACCTCGAGTATAGACCTGAACATAAACTATATAACTAGTGTACAGACCCAAACATAAACTATATACCTAGAGTACAGACCTGAACATAAACTATACCTATAGTACAGACCTAAACATAGAACATAAACTATAACTAGAGTACAGACCTAAAAATAAACTACACCTAGAGTACAGACCTAAACATAAACTATACCTAGAGTACAGACCTGAATATAAACTATATACCTAGAGTACAGACATAAACATAAGCTATATACCTAGAGTACAGACCTAAACATAAACTATATATCTAGTGTACAGACCCAAACATAAAATAAACCAAGAGTACAGACCTGAACATAAACTATACTTAGAGTACAGACCTAAACATTAAATAAACTTAGAGTACAGACCTGAACATAAACTATATACCTAGAGTACAGACCTAAACATAAACTATACACTTAGAGTATAGACCTGAACATAAACTATATACCTAGAGTATAGACCTGAACATAAACTATATATACCTAGTGTACAGACCTAAACATAAACTATACACTTAGAGTATAGACCTGAACATAAACTATATACCTAGAGTACAGACCTGAACATAAGCTATACCTAGAGTACAGACCTAAACATTAAATAAACTTAGAGTACAGACCTGAGCATAAATTTTACCTAGGGTACAGAGGATAGTCCTAGCTATAAACTATGCCTAGAGTACAAACTTAAATCTCAAATAAATCCAAATATCTACTCTTAGTGTTCTAGGGAAGTTTTTTAATCAGACTGTTTCTTTGAAAATCTTTTTTTTTTGAATCTTCTTTTAATCATGTCTTGTTCTGAAGAAACCTTGAAATAGATATTCACAGACGTACTCTTCTTTGTTAAGGGTTACACAGAAATAGAAGAAATTAGTTTTGGGAAATCATTTTCTCTTTTCATCATAATCATTGTCAACTATATAGTTAATTAGCTTTCGGGAATAATGTTCTCTTTTCACCATATAATCATTGTCAACTATATACAGGGTGTCCCCAAAAAAACATGGAATTCCGTGATGAATTGGATATCGTCTTTGTTATGAATTAGCAATTTAATACCTAATTTCAAAAGCCATAATATTATTATGTCTGCTAGAGTTTATTTTATGAAAAGGGTAAAAGACTTTAAAGATGTGACTATAATGTCTCCGCAAGATGAACAGTGAAGACGGACAAGTTTACTCTGTTTATATACTGTAATTTTCTTGTTTTACTCAAAGAATTATTTATAAAGACGATATCGAATTCGTCACTGAATTTCCATGTTTATTGGGACACCCTGAAGTTAACTATTGTTAGATAGAACTGACCATATGTAGGGATAACCCCAAAAGATAAGACTTCATAGACGACTGTACGGAACTTTTTCAGACTTTTTCCCTACAATCTGGATTTGTTAGCCACTTAAACAACAAAAAAAACGACAGACAAACAGAGATTACAACTTTATATATTTGAATACAAATATATTTCTTGGCTTGTCTGGGTGTTATAATTACGATTGTTTGATTGATTGTATCCAATAAACGTCAAAATGGCTAAACCAAATGACCCCATTTTTTGTGGGACTTCACCTAATCTAATTGGTCGAATTCTTTTTTGAAACTAGAAAAATCTTCGAAATTGTTATTTTTTTTTATTTGCACTAAAACACTAAGATGGTAATACAACGAGCGAACCGCCCTAGAAGACTAAAAGTATATATATATTTGTGTTCAATTTATTTAATCTTTTTTTACTCTCTTTCTATCTATCTATCATCAACATATCTGTAGTTGGCGCCTTCACAAAGACCTTATAATTGGTTCCTTGAATTCTTTCCAGACATTTTTATTTATTTATTTTTTACTTTTTATGTCTTTGGGTCTTCTTATATCTTCATTGACATTAAATGTTTTCCCCTTTTTGATTTTTTAGAATTGTTTTCTTAATTCTTTTAATTAATTAGTTTCTTAGTTTTGAAGGTTTAATTTTTGGAATTCCAGTGTCAGATTTATTTGTTCGTTTATCTTTAATTAAAAGGATGAAATTTAATGGGACTGTTTACTTATTAAAAGAAAAAAATTTATTTTTAGAATTAGGAACACATCGAAATCTATCTTAAAGGGGCTGCAAGCAAAATTTCAAGTGACCCTACATGGAAAAATCGCAATCCTCGATTCGCAAAGATACCTTTGAAACCTTCATATGTTCAAAAATGTGGAAGATACCGTCGTTTTTCTGACTCGAAAAGTGTTTTTTTTTCTGTGAGCTTCTCCATTGCTTTGTATAAACAAGAAATGCGCAAGTCACTTTCGCAGAGAAAACACTAATAAAAATAAACATTTTAAAGAAACAGAAACATTGATTACTAAGTCATTCTTCATTAGACATTAAGCTTTCAAGAGTACCTTTGTAAATCAGAATTGCATGGAGGGTCACTTAGAATTACGCTTACAGTCTCTCATACTCTTGAGGACTAAAGTGATCCTACGATCAAAAATTAGGACATTTGATATATTTCTAAATATTGAACAATCCCTTTAATCTTAATTGTATTGTTTAGGACGAGGAAGAGCAGAAGAGGTTGGAGGAGCAGCACAGGGTGGAGGAGGAGAAGCTCTACAAGGAGTTCGTGAGTATTCGGATGAAGGAGGAGGAGAAGGCTATCCAGGGTATACAGGAGGAGTGGGAGGTCGAGCTAACCAAGATTACGGCCAAGTTTGAACGTGATCTTCAGGTTAAATCCAAGAACAAGGAGGATCAGAAAGTTCTAACCCTGAAGTACGCGAAGGAGAAGGATATGTTTGAGAAGAACATGACCTTGAAGCGGGAGAAGAAAAAGGACTCCGTGACCAAGAAGCTGCTTGAGCAAGAGAGAGCTGCTGCAGCTGCTCTCATTGAGAAGCAATCTGAGGAGATGATGGATCTTATTGCCAAGGAGAAAACAAAGCTCCTGGAGGTTGGAGAAGATCTGGAGGATGCACAATCCTATCCAACCCAACCTCCTCCTCCCCTCCCTCCAAATTTCAATAAGACGGAGATCTATAAGGACCCGGAGGAGTTTGCTGAGGTTGACCAGCGTGCTATCACCGTAGCTCAGGAGGACCAGGAGACGTTTACAGATTTAATTCGACAACTCGTCGGAGAGTGTAAATCCGATGTAGAGAAGGCGAGAACTATCTTCCGATGGATTACAGTGAAGAATCTAAACTCTATAATGTTTGAGGATACTCAGAGAGGGGATACACCCATGGGTCTACTCAGAGGGATTAAATTCGGGACGGAGAGTTATCATGTTCTTTTCAAACGTCTTTGCAGGTAACATTATTGGTCGTAAAATAGTTGAAGGGATTTCCTACAAAATTTCAAACTCTTCTAGGCTGAGAAGAAGAAGGTAGAATTTATGCGACATTACAAATACGACTTAGTGACCTCGTAGCTCCTCTAGTTAGATTTTTTCGCACAAGTTTCAGAGAAACTGAATGACCACAAAGAAGATATTCTCGTTTTTCTACAACGAAAAGTGAAAAATTCTGTAAAGGAATTGACTCTTTGCCACAAACTCTGATCTTTTATTCCCAATATCTTTGGAACCCAATGTCGTAAACCTTTGATATTTCAAACTTATATTTTTTGATCTAACAAAATTCATAGTTTGAAATTTCAAAGGTTTACGACGTTGGAATCCAAAGATATAGGAATTAGAAAATCAGAGTTTGTTGCAAAGAGTCAATTCCTTTCTTTCCTGCGTGTATCGCAACTCTATTTATTCAACGAACCCATGATTAAAAACAATCAATCTTATATAAACCAATAATGAGAGAAATCTGTTGTCAGTCAGATTTTCTTCCAATTTAAAACATTTATCCGAGCAGAAAGTAAAACAACAAAAAGATGAAATATCTAAGAAGCACAAAAAAATTAAGCTGCAATATTAATTTTTTTGAATAATTTTTTTTTAAATGTTAACTTACAGATTCTTTTTTAAAATAAAGTAAAAAAAAAACTAAGTTTTAAAAATTATTGGAAAAAAAAAGTTTTAAAGTACCACTTTGAATCGGGCATGTAAATGTAACTTTTTAAATGTAGGGAGGGGGGAGTCTCATGAAATGACGTAGACAGTCTCTTTAAATATATCTAAATAGTGACATTCTTGAAAAGAATGAATAAGTTGGTATAACAATGGTTTATAAAAAGTGCAACCTGGTATTTTAAAAATAAAATTCATTGGTCAATAAATGTTGCATTGTTTTCATTCCACTGTCTGTAAATCAAGCTTTAAACTCAAAATACATTTTATGGGCTTTGTGACTTTACATTTCTAAACTGACATAAAATATATATAATGGTTGTAATGACAGAAGTATTTGTTTTTACATTAAAATAATCGGTTTGCAAAATATATTAATCTACAGCGAGACCAATAAAACTGTAGAAAAAAAGACGACATTCAAGCAATTTTGTTTATTTGATGTTGTTTTGAAGCAAATAGATTTACTGTTAGCTTAAAAATCAACTTATAAGTAAAAAAGGCCTCTGAACATTACACAATCGCCGTATTTTGTGTTTATTTGACTTTTTGAAGTCAGAACTCGAGTCTAAAACTCGTCTTCCTATTCCTTAGTTGTATGGGCCCCACTGTGACATTTTTGTCTTGTTTTATAATTAGGATTATATTTCAGTTATGCTGGGTTGCATTGTGTAGTGATCAAGGGTTATAGTAAGAGTGCTGGCTACCAACCCGGAGTCAAGTTTGAGGATAATAGGTTTAGAAACTCATGGAATGCAGTTTACGTGGCTGGCGCCTGGCGCTTCGTTCAGTGCAACTGGGGCGCCAGGCACCTGGTCAATGCTAAAGAGGTTCCCAAACCGGGCAAAGCAAAATCAGATAGTTTAAGGTAAAGCATAAATTGTCAAGATGATATTAATGATTTGAAAACAATTTCAAATATAGAATTTAGTATTTATTAACTTACACTTTTTTGTATTGCTACACGTTGCATGGACATCAAGCCTCTTCCTTAATCTTTGATGGATTAAAACTGAAAGAAAGTGAATTGCTAATTTATGGGCAAAAAAATGTTATAAAATGGCAAGCAATTTTTGCTTTCCTGAATTACACTTCAAAGTCAATGATCAGCTGAGTTTTACATGATGAGCAATAATGTAAATCATTGTTGGCACACTTGTGTAGATAAAAAATCCCTTAAATTGTACTAATCTTCTAAACAATTCTATTTTACATGGCATTAAATTCGGACACATTTTTTGAAAGATATTTTAACAGCTTTTTATTATTCTAGGTATGAATATGATGATCATTATTTTCTAACCGATCCTAAGGAGTTTATCTACGAGTTCTTCCCCCTGCAGCCCGAGTGGCAGCTCCTGAAGGAGGCGATAAACCTCGAGGAATTTGAGGAGCTTCCCTTCGTCAGATCTCTCTTCTTCCGATACCAGCTCGCCTTCCCAACCCAGCATATGAAATCTGTCATGCCAACAGATCAAACAGGTTAAAATTTAATCTTTTCATCCTATTTTAGTTCAAGTGCCGACGTTGCCCGTTGAATTTTAAAAACATTTGAAAAAAATTAGAGTTATGAAAAAAAAATTCTGAACTTTTTTTGGCCTATGTTACCTCCCGGGGTACCTCTGGGTTCCCAAAGAATATAATTTTCCAATCCAGGATAAAAAATCTGTTTAAACTGTGAACTTTATCTTTACTTTTTTTTCTCACCAATTATCTAAATCATAAATTATCTCATATTTTCATTTTTCAATGAACTAGTGAAAGGGGGTATAGGCTTAATGCAATAAAAAGCGCTTTTGATCGCTACTAATCTTACTTCTATCTGTGGCGTCTATAAGGAGATAATTGTTAAAAACCAATGATACCGAAGAACGTAGTGTCCATACAAATTCAGAAAGATGCAACATACGACTTAGACCGTAAAAAAATCTATTTAATTTCAAACAAATCATTCAGATATTACAACCTATAGTCATCGATTATCTTTCGCCACATTTGTATATAGTTGATTTTTCATAATATGTTTCAATTGTTATGATCTGAGAGTTACTTATAAAAACATTTATTCCTGTTTCGAGGATTTTTGGTAATGAAGACGACATTTTAATATATTCAAGGAATGTTCGAAAACAAGTTGTAAGCTAAATATTATTTTTTAAAAAGCCTATACCCCCTTTCATTTTTCGCGAACACTCCCTTTAAAGGGACTGTAAGTGTAGTTTCAAGTCAACATCTGCATGCAAAGATGGCAATGCCTGATTCACAACCTTACTTAAAAGCATTGTAGGGTCAAGAATTAGATTTATATTTTTGATTGTTGTTTCTGTACAAAATTGACTTATGCATATCTACAGCAAGAATACTTTTAAACTTAGTAAAACAACAATATCTTCCACACTATTGATAAGATTAAGGTTTCAAGGGTACCGTTGTGAATCACGTATTGCCATCTTTAAATGGAGGGTCACTTGAAATTACGGTTACATACCTTTTAATGATTTGATAAGGGAATTTATTCTCTGAACCATAGAATGGGTGAATTATGCCACTTAGCGTAATGATGTATAAATCGATTCACAAAGTAATAAAACTAAAAACAAATAAATCAATTTAGTTGAAGAATTGACAAATAAATTAATTCATTAACGAAATAAATAAAATAATTAATACACTAAACTTAAATGAGGATGAATTAAAAAATATACTAAATAAAGTGATAAATTTAAACAAAATGATGAATGAGTTTATTCATTAACTAAATTATGAAAAATGAATTTACTAAACTAAATGTTAAATTAATATTTTCAATTCACGAATGAATAATTTATTTCGCTAAAATAAAAAGGATGAAAGAACTAATCAATAAACTAAAGGTCAATGAATTAATTTACTAAACTAAAGGGTCAATGAATTATATAACAAAGTGAGGAAATGAATGAATTATCTCACAAAGCAAACGGATGAATGGTGAATGAACTAAATCACTAAATGAATGAATGAATGTTCAGGAGCAGCAACTGTTCGACTAGAGATGCCTATAGATATGCAGTCCGCCCTCATATTCCATTATAACCTCAAGTTCTATAACAAGGATACAGACAACTTCGAGGGAACATCACTTAAACGATTTGTCATGCAGGTCATACATCTTTTAGACTCTTTTATTTATAAACTGATTTTGGATTCTTAATATTATGATTTTTCAAGGTCAAAATTTAGCATAGTTTAAGAAAACCAAATGTATAGAATCAACAATTTTGAAAACATTTCTCTTTTTGCACAATGCCAAATTTTGACCTTGCAAGAAAATATGGGCTAAAGGCCCCAACCAGCTTAACTTACTACAGCCTTGATGCCTAAACCAATTGATCAATTCACAAAGAGAACATGTTCACAACTAATTTAGAAGATGGGCGCGAAGCGCCCTTTAAGGCTAGAAAGAAGGGCGCGAAGCGCCTTGAATTTCTAGTGTTTAAAATGTTTATACGAAATTATGGCCTTTTATGTTTTCTTCAGAGAAATTAAATCTTTCAGTCATTCTAGAACGTTTCCTCGTGGTTTCATTGCTAAATGTTAATTGCAGGAAATAAAGGTTAAATTTTGCTGAAAGTAATTTTCTGCCTCCTGCGGTCTAAAACTTTATCCTGGGGTTGAAAGTTCAGGTTCTACTCTCAGCTCTACGCAATACATGCGCTTTACGCATTTATAAATTATAGATTTACGCATCCAATTTTTATGAAGGAATCCGTTAGATTTGACACTAATAATCGAGAAGAATCGGAAATGAAATAAACATCGCAATCGCAAGCAATCATTTTCTCAGCTTCAAGGAAAATGAATAAATTTTACCCTTTTCTACTTTGGATTGATCCTGGGATATATATGATTCTTAAAAGAATGACCTAATAATAATTGAATAGGACTGCGTCTAAAACATGCTCGAGGCCGAGCGCTGCGGCAAGGACAGGCTTGGGAATTTGCACATTTGGGAAGCTGTCACTTTGGAAAATGCCTTTGTGAAAGTACCTAACATCAGTTGGGGGGGGGGGGGGGGGGGGGGGGGGGGGGGGGGGGGACGGGTAGGAGAATTGGACCCAAACTCACTGAAACTTGAAAAGAAAGTTTTTAATTCAATATTCCCTGGATACTGGATATAGAAGATATATAGTACAAAAACAAACACAAACATTTAAACTTTAAGATTTCACACTCTCGTCTCTACAAGTTTAAAGTCAATATTTACTTTTAACTTTAAAGGTTTAAATATTTACTTTAACGTTTAAAGCTTTTTGTTGAATAAACCAAAGTGAAGTACAGTTAATTTTCAAATTATGCACCCGTATAAACCAGTATAAACCAGAAAAAAGGTCGTCTTTATCACTTAATTAGAAATGTGACCATTGCAAATTACAAAATCTCTTACAAAGACGACTTTCAATCCACTGTATACTGATTAAGACTATGTACAGGGTGTCCCACATCATATTAGATTGTTTACAGCTCTAAATTGAGGTTTTAGGTACTAACTATTCAGAAAATTAAAAAAGAAGGTTTGAAGGTTTGTCGGATTGTCTTATCCCTATATCAATGCAACCCAATATAGTATAAATATAAAGGTTAACACCAGCAGGGTGCAAAGATATGGGAATTAAAGAATTTCAGTTTGTGGCAAAAAACTTTATTCCTATAAAATGGGCAGCAAGTAATACGTATACTTCTAGAAAACAAATATATTTTAGGGTCAGTGTTCTTGCATATTTGTAGACAAAATAAAACTGAAATATAGGGTAATAAACTGTAAAATATGTTTTAAACCTAAAGTGATCAAATTATGTAAAAGTAAAGGTTCAAGTGCAAATATTGTTAATAGTATCTTCATGAGAGGGTTGGACAATTTTTCCTTCATAAAAAGGGGGTTGGCCGGGAGAAGGTCGGGGTTGGGCTTGGGGGGGGGACATATATATAAATTAATTATCTCTCAGTATCTGTAAGTCCTAGTTCCCAGATGCATAAACAGTGCCAGAACTAATTAGTTGTATACAGACAGAGAGACTTATAGTTTCTCTTATTTCCTACTAAATATATATATATATATATATTTATATACTAGGCTTCAAGAGCGCTTCGCGTATATAATCGATTCTAATTTTTAATTTATCTTCTATCTGCGACATTTTATCTTCTTAAATTATTGAACAATAACAAAAAAGTCGATGACTTACCAGAAATCAGTGGAATAGTTTTCGTTCCCGTTTCTCTTTAAATAACGAAATATTGCTAAGAATTTGTAATTTCTAATTGCTATAACGAATATATTTCTTAAAGTTAAACAAAATAAATCAGTTATAATAACATATTCTCCTTAAGGTCATTTCAATCTCTTAAAAAACGACGAGGACAGTCATTGCAGTGTTTTTTTGTAGAAGCATATTTTGTATATTTTTCAATATTAGATAATTATTTTATATTTTGTTTCAGTCTGTTGTGAATAACACTGTGGCTTTCCGAGTACACGCTCCGTGTTCTGCCAACCTTCTCCTAGATATATTCGCTAATGCAGTCACACCACAGGAATATTTAACAGGAGAGCCCATGAAGTTTAAATCTGTTTGTAAGTTTAAGATTGTGTGCTCCGACCTACAAACTGTGATGGTTCCTCTACCGGACTGTGCCTCCGGAGAATGGGGTCCGGCGAAGGCAACTCGACTCTTTGGTCTCATCCCTCTAACCCACCAGGACGCACTTATCTTTGCGTCCCAATCCCTTGAAATCCAGTTTCAGATGTCTCGTCCTCTCACAGACTTCATGGCAACCCTGCACAAGAACGGGTTGGAGGAGAAGAAACTATCCAAGTATGTATCTCAGCGTGTATCCGGAGATATTGTGACGTTATCCGTGAATTTCCCCGAGGAGGGACAATACGGGATGGATATATATACTCGAGAGGTGAATTCAACTCTTAAATCAGATTCTAATGAGAAACATCTGTTAACACACTGTTGTAAATATCTTATCAATTCTTCGAGAAAAAATCGACATTAAAGTATTTTTTCTTATCGTATATAGATTTTAAAAATTATTCATATATAACTCTACACACGCGTTACGCACACATTTAATCTATTTATGAATGACAATTATCTTAAAAATCAATTACAAAAATTAATTTTCAGAGACGAAATCAATTTTTTAGATAAGATCATAAGAGTTGAACTGCAAAAAAGTGAATAGAAAATCATAAAAACGATAATTTGAACCAAATATTAAAAATTCTCTCTATGATAAACACTAAATTAAGATTTTAAATATAATCCTATTTTTCTCTAAAATTCAATTCCAAAGATCTTAAAGATCTAAACATGTGGCAGGCTGATTCAGAAATAATTTTTGAAATATATAAACATATATATAATATATATACATACATGTAATATATATTTTATTTATATATATACATGTTATATACATTTTATTTATATAATATTCATAAATTATTCGGGTTTCCATTCAAAATAAGAAACGATTTTGTTCAAAATTTAAAGTTTTTTTTTCTGAATCCCTCTTTTTACATGCCGTGCAGTACAAGAATGTAAAGTATAAAAGGATGTAAATTCTCTGTAATGTGACGATGCATTGCTTGTTGATTGATTGATTGAAGATCTGGTTCCTGCAAAACCATTATCCACTCTTATACTCATGAAGTAAGAGAACTAAGGAGAGAGGAATATATTTTGTTTACGTTCTACTAAGACGAACAGGGTTATCCATAAAGGATGAGACTTTATTGGAAACCTAATATTCTTTAAATATATTGACATTTACCTTTATGAAGTCTTATAACGATATATCATATTATTTAACAAAGAAAAAGTATGTTTAAAGTTGCCATGGACTCCTAAATGTAAGGCAAATATGTGAATAAAGTCCGGACAGTCTTCACTGAAGTCTCATCCTTTGTAGGTAACCATACTTAATAGAACCAGTCTCCATCCAGTCTTGTCTTGTTTCTCAGCTTTCCTATAAACATCACGGTAAAACAAAAACCATATTTTCCTCTAAATCCTTTTGAATCCATTTACAGTTCTAGGATTTTAGTCCTATAGAACAAAACAACAGAAATTGCAAAATATGTCTTCAAAACTAATAATACTTTTTTCTTTAAATTTTCATTATTTCTAATCGTTTGAATGGTACTGTAACCGTAAATTCAAGTGACCCTCCATGCATAGATGGCACAGCCCATTTTACATTGGTACCCTTGACAGCTTTGTCTGATTAAGTATGAATTAGAGATCCATGTTTTTGTTTCTTTAAACGTTATTTTTTTCATTTGCAGTTTCTCTGCGAAAGTGACTTACACATTCAAGAAGCAATGGAGAAGCTCACAAAATACCACCTTTTTAGCCAGAAAAACTAGAGTATCTTTCACATTTTTGATCAGATAAAAATTCTAAGGGTACCATTGTAAATCGGACATTGCCTTTTTTGTTTGGTCACTTCAAATTACGCTTACAGTCCCTTAAAACGATCTCTTAACACATTTTTTAAAACACATAATCAACACACGGTTACATATAATCAACACACGGTTACATATAATGCCAAATATACTTTTTTATAATTCTCAAACATTGTGATTTTCAGTCTGTTATCTGTTATTTAAATATTATTTGTTTAATAAATACTTTTGGCAAATTTACCTCCTCAAATATGATTTAAAGAGTTTTTATTTCAAATTGTTAATGATGCATTATTGTTATTTCCAATTTTTTCATCTAAAATCTATGAGTTTGATTGAACAAAAACATGGCAGTTCTGACTTCAAAAGAACCATATTTTCATAAAATAATTTACTTGAAAGGAATTGAGGCTTCGCTACCATCTCTGATTTTCAAATCCCACTATCTTTGCAACCCAAAGTCATATACCTCAGATATTTAAAACTATGAATTTTGTTTGATCAAATAATTTAAGTTTGAAATATTGAAAGTTTACACCATCAGGTTGCAAAGATAAAGGAGTTATAAAATTCTAGTTTGTGGCAAAAGCTCAAATCCTTAAAAAACTATATTTAGCGTTCCATAGGCCATAAAAGCCGAGAAATTTCAATTTTTGCAGATTTTTTTCCTTCATTTTGCCTGCTGGAGCTAAAATTTTCATTAAATGGTTGATTTTCTTGATATATCCATGGAATTCATAAATTCCTCTTAGATGAATTCAAATTTGAATGAGATTTGAAAAACTAAACAAATACTAGAAGAAAGATTTTATTAAAAGATGTTTAAAAATTTAATTAAAGATTTAATGAAATGCTTAAAGATGGGTTTTTAACAAAAGCTATGTTTTATCTAAAAGAATTTTTTAAATCTTGTCTTGCCCGGGTAAAAAAACTATTAGAGATAACTTTCATCATTGAGAGAGGGAAAACTAAAAAGATCATCCAACGATTACTTTAGCACGGGCAGCCGTAGTACATTTGAATCTCCGAGCCGGGTCAACCTTTCCGGTCCCAGTTTGTACTGTATCGTCCGGACATTGGGTAAATAAAGCAGACACTTAATAGGATTGGGTTCAGTCACTCAGTGTATCTGTTTATTCGGATAGATTTTAATGTTATTGTATTAAAATTTGAAATATTTGAAGATTCTAATTCAGAATCACAAAATACCCAGTGCGCCCTATTAATGTAAAAATTCTTGCCATCAAACTTAAATGTTCTAATCCCTATATATTTGCATCCTGATGTTTTTAAATTTTGATATTTCAATCTTAGACTCATGATTTAACAGAATTTATAGTTTAAAATATCAAAATTTTACAAGATCGGGTTGCAAAGTTTTAGTGGTTAAAAAATCAGAGTTTGTGGCAACTACTTAGTTTCTTTATTAAATTAATCAAATTTTTTTAAAATTTATTTTCTAGAACTACTTCAAGCAATTTTATTTTTCAAAGAATAAAATTTCTTTGGAACTCTTCTTTCAAATAAGTTTTGAAGATCTACTTAAGTTCTCTTTCAAGATTCAAGCATGTCATATTTATTCTCATCTCTCTTTTTTCAAGATTTAATCATTTTCTTATTTTAAACTTCAGACGAATTATCTTTTTATTTATTTCTTTTTCTTTTTTTAGAAAAGAAAAAATGAATAATAAATATGAGGGAACCTAAGAGGTTTTTAGAAATATATTATCTTCGCATAAATACTGATGAAAATAACAAAAAAATAATAAATAAAATATTTTACTGGGATTGCTTTAATGAATAAGAGGGGTCGCTAAATTACCTATTTTGCAGCGCGGTTCAAATCCGGAATCGCCGATTCAAATCCTCATAAATATTTAACTTTAAATCGGTGCTTCAAAATTTGAACGCGTAGATTCTATTAGGGTTCTATTAACTAGACAATGCCCTCAGGAGCAATGTCATTCACTTCAGAAAATGTATTTAGAAAAGTTGGTCATTCGTTTAACTTATTTTTTGTGTGTGGATTTTTAACCTATATATAAAGTTAAATTATGCGTAATTTAAAAAAATTAAATCTTAAAACTTTTTTCTCACAAATATTTATAACAATATATCTATCTCAGTTTAAAACTTTAATTTGTTTTCTAAAAAGAAGAAGAAAAGAATATCTTCATGTATTTATAATATATATTTTATATTATTATTTTATATCTTTGTGATCAAGTATAAGATGAGTATGTTTATGTTTATATATTTATTTTTATATATTCATAAATGACAAGGTTCCAAGGAAGGTTCTCCGGAATCAATATGTCTCCAGGTTTCTGATCCTAGATCTTGACAACCAAGGTTTAACTTCTCCGGGTTTAAGGTCTCATCCAAATAAATCTGCTCCTGGCATCTTTAAAGGGAGTGACATGGTAGTTGAGTTGAGAGTGCAATATTGAAAAGAAATGTTTAAGAAATCATTTGAGACCTATAAGACGTAATTGTACAGTTCACCAGGAGGATTTCAACTCTTACTTAGCAATCATGCACCTTACAAACCTCTTGTTGGTCTCAAATATTTTCAAAACAAATTCTCTTTGTTACTGCACTTTCAGCTCAACTACCATTTAGAGCAAGACACTCCCTTTAAAAGCAAAGGTTACACAATATTTCAGATTTTACCTAATTTTGTTTCTTGAATTGTGTGTTCCAAACTCAGGAGGCTCAGATTCTAGAAAAGCAACTTTAACTTTTTAATGTTTGCATTCCAACTTTTAAACCCAATTTTTTTACAGCTACAAGGATAGACAAAGTTCTTTAGCGAACGGAAAAAATGAACGAAATATTAGAAAAAAACTAAAATATGTATTTTAAAAGACGAAAACTAAATCCGACAAATCTGTACTGTTGTGAATCTAATATTGATATCTTTGCATGGAAGTTCACTAATAATTACGAGTTATTTTAGCATGTAGTTGAAGCATATAATAATGACGGGAAGTTTCACATACTATTAAAAACCAGATAATTTTCAATTTATCAGCTACACTGATCGTTCAGTAAATAGTTAACAGTGAACGGCAAGTCCTTTCCTTTACATTAGTATAACTATAGGTAACAAACGATTTAAAAAGTGATAACGTGCATTCCCCTGTTCACAATATAGTATTGTTATAGTTTAAAACTCCATGACTAACCCTTGCTACTAAACCAGGCCTTGGTGCTGCAGCAATCCTGGTAATCTTTTTTATAATATAATTTGTTAAACCCAAAAGAACACCAGCTCAACCAATTTCAGAGAAAACTAGCTCAAACCAATTCTAGAGAAAACTGGTTCAAACCAATTCCAAAGAAAAATGGTTAAAACCAATTCCAGAGAATAATTTTTCAAACCAATTCCAGAAAAAACTTGTTCATACCAATTCTGGAGAAAACTTAATTGTTCAAACCAATTCTGGAGAAAACCTGTAATACTAACTTCATAGAAAACTTAATTGTTCATACCAATTCTGGAGAAAACTTAGTTGTTCAAACCAATTCCGGAGAAAACTTGCCCAAACCAATTTCAGAGAAAACTTATTTTTACCAATTCCAGAGATTACTTATTTAAACCAAATCCAGAGAAAACTTGTTCAAACCAATTCCAGAGAAAACTTGTCCAAAGTAATTCCAGATAAAACTATTTCATACCAATTCCGGAGAAAACATGTGTTCAAACCAATTCCAAAGAAAACTTGTTCAAACCAATTGCAAAAAAACATAGTTAAAAACAATTTCAGAGAAATCTTGTTCAAACCAGTTGCAGAGAAAACAAGGTCAAACCAATTCTATAAGAGAAAACTTTTAAAACAAAATTCTCAAGTAAACGTTGAAAATCCATTTAAAGGGACTGTATACATAATTCCAAAAGTCTCTCTAATTATTGAATGGCATGTCCGATTCATAACTGTACTTTAAACTTTTGACTGATCAAATATAACAGACACAGGTAAAAAACAGGAGATCTCTGTTACATTTACCAAAATTACATTTAATATTACTAGCTATATAATAAAACAAGACATTCGTATATATGTTCCCTCTGGCTGGCCAAACGGCTGGACCAAATGGGCTGAATTTTTTGTAGACACTCATGGGTGCCATAGGCTAAAAAAATTCAATTTTTTTCAAACTTTTTTTCCACGGCCAAAGCCGGGCTCTTCAGCCAGTTATTAATAAGCTAAAATAAAAACAAGACTGAATACGTCTTCCTTAATCAGATTAATGGTTTAGAAGGTACCGTCGCGAATCGGACATGAAAGGGCATTTGAAATTGTTTCTACAGACCCTTTCATCTGAATATTTTAGAGTTCATTTAATGAAGTTGTTTATATTGAAGACAGGTTTACAAGAATAAGAAATATGTATATGTCTAGTCTGGGAAAGATAGTGGTTTCTGTGTTTAAATCAGCTTTGTACTGAACAGTGTAGAATATTAAACTCAGTTCTACAAGATTGAACATGTTTTATTTTCTCCCTTAGAATACTAGATTGTAAATTCTTTATAATATTCATTTTAATAAGGTTTTGCCCGGAATCTGTGTTGATTTGTCTTTGTAAAATATTATTGTGTCCTCTCTAGGGACGTATTTTTGTTAATTAAGCGTATACATTAGAATTTACAAGTGATGGATATAATTCGGCATCCTAGTGTTTAACTAATATTTGACAAAGATCAGATCTTTTTTTGGGGGATATTGTTTATTTTAAAGGGACTGTAAAGGGAAAATGAAAGGGGGTTTCGGCCGTGAAACCTAGCATTTCAGGGGTTGATAAAGGCCCATAAGAGTTCTAGTTGATGTTCTTGTCTCGAGAAAGTGATATAAAACCGTGTCAAATTTATACGAAAAGGAATTGAGTTTCAGCCACAAATTCAAATGTTCTAATCCCTATCTTTGCAATTCGATGGTGTAAACCTGTGATATTTCAAACTACAACTATTTGATCAAACAGAATTCATAGTTTGAAATATCTAAGATCTACGACATCGGGTTACAATGATATAGGGATTAAAAAATCAGAGTTTGTGGCAAAAACTCAATTCCTTTATATATACAAATTTTATTTTATAAAAATCATAGGTTTAAACAGATCATATTCAGCAAATAAGCAACCAATCTGAAAATATAAAATATAATTGATAATATAATAAATACGTCCACATTATGTGACCAGAACTTCCAGCAATGGCAGTGCAGTATCATTATCATGTGTCTCCGTCTGTATCATGTGATCAGTATACTGCACTGCCATTGGTGAGAGTTCTGGTCACGTGATACGGGCGTATAAATAATATTATCCATTATATCTATGAAAAATGAAAAATTATTAAATTTAAATAATAATAGAAGCAAACCTAAGTTTTTTTAGGCTTCTCTGAGATATCGTCGTTTTCAGATTGGTTTCTTATTTGCTGAATATGATGTGTTTAAACGTACTATTTTAATATAAAATCTTATATACATTTATATATACATTTATATATAATTATATATTTATAATTATATAATTATATACATTTTATATCACTTTTTTTAGTTCAACTCCTTAAATGCTTATGTTTCAGTCTATACCCTCTTTCATTTTTCCTTAGAGTCCCTTTAAACACTTGATCTCGATATCCAATGTGGGTACTTTTAAGTTTGAAGATAAATGTTTGATCCTATGAACCATCACAAGATAACGAAGAGGACTTAGACTAATCCTAAGATGGAGATCAATACTTAATCCCCAGATTCAAAACTGACTGCAAAGCGTATTTGTAGAATTTGATTAGTTGGATAATTGCATCTCCCGACCAATAGGATGGAAAGAGTTGCGGTAAATCCGCCAATATGAGAACTATAAAGTGAACCTTGTATTTTGTAAAATTCCAAATTCTATTCGAAATATTAAATATGTACTTTAGATAAATCAATCCCAATGTTCGGATTGCTTTTAACAGTGTGTACTTTTAGTATTTAGCGCATTTTTGTGATAGCCATGTAGTGTAGAGTATACTGTAATGTATACTGTAGAGTATACTGTAAACTTAATTGAGTTTTTTTTCACTTCTTTGGTTTCACGCAACTAGTGGAGAAACCTGGTTTCCGTATTGTAATTAACAAAACAATTTTCTAAGAAATCGGGTTTTTATCAACTTTATTTTAAGTTTATTTAAGAACACAAAAACATGGGTTTCTGTTCAGTGTCTATGGTCAACAGTTTTTTTATCTGCTCATTAGGTATGCATGCATAACGCGGTTAGTTCACGGATTAATTAAGGTTTTGGAATCAGAGGCCGAATTTTAAGAATTTAAAGCCGCGGCTCAAATATGGTTGGTTCCACTTAAAATTGTATTTAATTTTTCAAAATTTAAGCCGGCGCTAAATTGAAACCGGTTTTAGGTGGATTAGAGACACGACTTAAATTCACTAAATTCGGACACAGATTGTTTTAATTATTTTTCTTCTAAACAAAGAACCCAGTAAAATAATAAATTGAACATTTTCAAAAAATCTTATTGATAATTGTAGTATTTACTTATCTATTGTGTACGTACTACGTAGGTATACTCATTTTTTTGTTGTAAAATACATTACTCTACAATTTATCAAAAATTTTCTTTTATTCTGTAAAAACTAGTGATATCCCTTGCTGTATAGATGATAAATTAGTTCCTATGTTTACTCCAGGTTTATTTTCACCACTTCCTCCAAACATCATTTTTCATGTTTTGCAGCCGGCTAAACGTCTTCTTTAGATATAATTCAGGGACTTTTGATTCAACCCACGTCAATGTATAATTAGCTTGTGGAATCATTCTTTACAAAAAATGGTTTATGTTAAACAATTAAACCAGTTTCTTGCAGAGCTAATGTTAAGTTAAATAAACTCCTTTAAACTACTCTTATTGGTAAACAATAAGGAACATTTAAAATTGTTTCTCGCTTATTGAGAAAAGATTAGTAATAAATTGTGAAGGTATCAATTTTTTTCGATATTTAAATTAAGCTTTAAATGTAAATACAGAGAACGATAACATTTTTTTCTTCAAAACTTACGGCAAAAATAAAAGTATAAAATATCATAAACAATTTTTTTGGGGCGAAGCGGGTCAATGTTTATTAATTCAATCCAAAATACGCACTGTAAGTTGTAAAAATCATCTATTCATTAATACAAATATTGGCCTTCTATATCTACATATAAATTTAGCTTGTCTGTCTGTTTGTTTGTATCCAATAAACGTCAAAACGGCTGAACCGATCGGGACCCAAATTTTGTAAGGAAAGGTTTATGAATGATCAAAATTTCAAAAATTTGCCAAAAACTAAATTTGATTTTCATTAAATTTTCTTTATAAAATCCGCGAACATTTTTTGGTTTCGTTTTACAATTAATACAAAGAGAAATGTTCACAATTAAAAAAGAAGATAGGCGCGAAGCGCCCTAAAAGCCTAGTATATATTACTTTGCTTGTCTGTCTGTCCATTGCAAAACCGATTGGGCCCTGGTGAGGGACGACACATGACCCCAGAGAAGGTTTTTGGAGTCTCAGAATTTTAAATTTAACTTTTTCTGTTTTTGTTTTGAATTGTGCTATGAGAAGATGCTCAAAGATAGAGCCACAATTAAACGTTGAAATAGAAGATGGGCGCGAAGCTCTCTAAAAGCTTAGTTTAAGAAATAATTATTAATTATCTTATGATTAATAATTATTTTATCAACCTTTCAGATTCATTTATTATTAATTATGAGGTAAAAAAGACCTTATTCACCAGAGGCAAATTTTCTGAAAAGTCTGAAAGAAGAAGAAAATGTACTATCAGCACACACGGACAAGCAAAGTATAAATGTAGATTACTTTGATAACATTTTTTCTTTTAAAAATGTTAAATCTAGAAAATAAGTCTCTCTCCGCTCTTTGCTTCAACTGTCCAACAAAGTTCGAAACTAATAAAGTATTTAAATGAATTTGAGTTTTTTTCCGGCAAAATTTTTTATTATGAAATTTTTCATGATTATATTCTTAATAAAATTGATGAGCCCTTTAAATTGAGGGAAGGGGGTATATTGGATATTTTCTGGCCTGTGTTGCTTATCAATCAGAGGACAATCCTTTTGTTCAGGGAAGCGCATGAAAATGTTTATTTCTGGTACAAGGTATTATCTGACCAATAATGTGGAAGATATTTTCGTTTTTCTAGGTTTAATTCGGTCATCTATAATTATCATAGATAAAACAGTATAATGTTCCAGGTACTTTTTACAAATAGTTCCGGCCGGTCATAGATAAAAGTGTATAATGTTCCATGTACTATTTACAAATAGTTCCGGCCGGTCATAGCTAAAACAGTATAATAGTCCAGGTACTTTTTACAAATAGTTCCGGCCGGTCATAGATAAAAGTGTATAATGTTCCATGTACTATTTACAAATAGTTCCGGCCGGTCATAGCTAAAACAGTATAATAGTCCAGGTACTTTTTACAAATAGTTCCGGCCGGTCATAGATAAACAGTATAAAGTTCCATGTACTTTTTTTCAAATAGTTCCGACCGTTCATAGATAAAACAGTATAATGTTCCATGTACATTTTACTAATAGTTCCGTTCGATCATAAATAAAACAATACAATGTTCCAGGTACTTTTTACTAATAGTTCCGTCCGATCATAAATAAAACAGTACAATGTTACAGGTACTTTTTACAAATAGTTCCGGTCGGTCATAAATAAAACAGTATAATGTTCCAGGTACTTTTTACTAATAGTTCCGTCCGATCATAAATAAAACAGTACAATGTTACAGGTACTTTTTACAAATAGTTCCGGTCGGTCATAAATAAAACAGTATAATGTTCCAGGTACTTTTTACAAATCAATAGAATCATACAACTAATCAATCCCAATTTAAATCATGAGTTGATTGAAAATCTATGCCGCGCCTGCAGTGATACAGAAACTGGTAACCTTTAAGTACTTTGCAGTTTTGGATTCTGAAAACTTATTTTTCTCTTTAAAAAATCTAGAAACTACCAAGTACAAATACGAGGGTCTGTGGAGGAGAGTTTGTAATTTATTGGATAAGAACCGAAAAATTAGCAATCGATTCAAAATGTTTTTTACAATCTCTCTCTTTAAATAAATCCTTCTCATTATCATTTCAATCTTTTGTCATTTGAAAGATTACTTAATTTTTTTATCTTTTAAAGGGACAGCAGGCGTAAATTCAAGAAACCCTCAATTTTTAAACTGGTGTGTCCGATTCACAAGAGTACGTTTTAAACCTTTAACAGAATAAGGATATCAAACTTGTCATTATTTCTCTTCAGTAACGCTAGTCATTGCTGAACACTTTGTTATCAAGCTGTTTTATATTTAAGAAATATCAACATTTACTTTCTTCAACAACAAGATACAAAATAAATATTTTAGAAACCGCGTTGGACAAAGGATATTCGGCAGTTTCTAAAAATATTTATAAAGCCAGCTGAGATGAGTTCACACTCTAAGCTAGCGTACACTCCAGTTTTACTGCAATTTGAACAGTATTTTAGAGAAGAACGCATTGTGGTTCACTTGAAATTACGCGTGCAGTCCCTTTAAAACTTGAAAAGTTTTCAAATTGTGTGTTTGAGTGTTCTTGTTTCCAAATCTGAAGAATCCTCTAGAATCCGTCCTTTATATGAAAATGCTTTTTAAATATGAATGGAATGTAAAGAGAGCTGAAAGGAACTATTTGATGGATTTCTGACGATTCAATAATTGGTTTTCTTATAATTTCCGTCCGTGCCAGAACTTGGGGCCTTCCTACCAGTCAAACCAGACACAGATATATGTTCTGTACCAGACACAGATTTATACCAAACGTATATATATATTTTCATACCAGACACAGATAAATATTCATACCAGACACAGATAAATATTCATACCAGACACAGATAAATATTCATACCAAACACAGATATATATATTCATACCAAACAAAGTCATAAATTAATACCACACACAGAAATATTTTCATACCAGACACAGATATATTTATATTCATACCAGACACAGAAATATTTTCATACCAGACACAGATATATTTATATTCATGACACAGAAATATTATTAATACCAGACACAGATATATATTTATACCAGAAACAGAAATATTTTCATACCAGACACAGATATATTTATATTCATACCAGACACAGAAATATTTTCATACCAGACACAGATATATTTATATTCATACTAGACACAAATAATTATTAATACGAGCCCCAGATATATATTTATACCAGAAACAGATATATTTTCACACTAGACACAGATATATTTTCATACCAGACACAGGTATAATTTCATACCAGTTAAATTTTAATCCTGCAATATTTATCTCCTACTTAAATAATTTTTTTCTTGTAAAAAAAATAATTTTCAGGTCTGTTTTATTGTAAAATTAATTAAAACGAATCTACTAAATAAAGATAACATTCTATCAAAAAAAGTTTTAAAAGATTAGTACCTAACGCCCAGCTTGTCTTTTGTCAGTTTAAAATAAACCTCCTGTCTTCTGCATTGAAGGAAAAAAGTTGTCATTAGTGTTTCTTTAAGAGTAGGAAATTACGCGGTTGCAAATTTTTGCACTTTTTAGTAAGTCACCAGTCACCAGTCTCTAATAACTTGAAGGTTGAGAGAGGCTTATCTTCATTATAAGAAATATATTTTTCATTTTGCCCTGGAAACATTTTTAAAAAATCAATATTTTCTTTATACACATTTGTTTTTTTGTATCCAAGAAATAGGACTTCACATTAGCAGCAAAGAAAAAAAAATATAGGTCGAGATTTTTAAAAATTTGCCTCCAAAATTTTTTAAATATTTGAAAAACCACCAATACGAATAGACAAAACTCCGATATCTTAAAGTTTTAAAGAACAAATGTTTGCAAAAAAATAAAAGCTAAAATAATTACAAGAACGAAGGCGAGAAGCCCCCTGCATGTCATTTTATACTTTAAAGGGATTTAGAAGAAAAAAACACACATTTTTTCTCGAAAATTGTGCAGCTCTAGATTGAATGATTTTTGGTCAGATAGATAGATATTCTAGCGGAGAAAAATAGTAAAATCCTCTATATCACAATCCTATGATTAATGATCTCTATGGCTCTGGGATGCCGGAAATACAGCTAAACCTAGACCCGGAGCTAAAACTAGAAATAAACCTGAGTCTTCCAGGAGATTAAACCCTTGTCTTTCTCCGTGTCTAGCCAGGAACAGGATACCCTGATATTCCAGGCACAATCTTTTCTGAAAACAAACATCGAGTTATTATTAAGAAAACGCGGGGAAAAAGAGTACTGCAGTTTGTGGCTGGAAAACAACAACGTTGATAAAAAATGTCAAACAGTTTTTAATAGAGACATATTTGGGCCGGTCATTCAATTTATGAGGACTTGAGGTCAAACGTTTATTATTAACAGCTCTAATCTACGACGTTTGATCTCGAAATCCACAGTGGCAACTTTTTAATTTGATCTCTCAATTTCTGGTAAATCAATTGATTCTGTGTTTTGTAAAAGGGATATCCAATGAAGAATTGATTCAACTCTTCTGACGGCAAAAGATGCTGATCATCCCGAGAATCACAGGACAAAACTTTGGGCCTCTTATAATGTTTTCCTCTCACTCAGTTTCAGTTTCCTTGCTTAATTTTGAGTTTTTAATCGTAGGTTTAAATATGAATAGTAGGCAGTATGTACTTCAGTGACGTAGCTCAAACTCATAAGATTCTGTCCAAGGTTGAAAAGTCAAAAAGCTTTAAAAGTTAAAAAAGAACGAACAATCTTATTTTTCATCATCAACAATCCCTTTAATTCTAGTTTTCTTCCCTGTAGATAAACTAATAAACAGTGCCTTTAATTCTAGTTTTCTTCCCTGTATGTAGATAAACTGATAAACAGTCCCTTTAATTATAGTTTTCTTCACTGTAGATAAACTGATAAACAGTCCCTTTAATTCTAGTTTTCTTCCCTGTAGATAGACTGATAAACAGTACCTTTAATTCTAGTTTTCTTCTCTGTAGATAAACTGATAAACAGTCCCTTTAATTCTAGTTTTCTTCCCTGTAGATAAACTGATAAACAGTCCCTTTAATTCTAGTTTTTTTCCCTGTAGATAAACTGATAAAGAATCCCTTTAATTCTAGTTTTCTTCCCTGTAGATAAACTGATAAAAAGTCCCTTTAATTCTAGTTTTCTTCCCTGTATATAAACTGATAAACAGTCCCTTTAATTCTAATTTTCTTCCCTGTAGATAAACTGATAAACAATCCCTCTAATTCTAGTTTTCTTCGCTTCAAAAAAACTGGTGAACAGTCCCTTTAATTCTAGTTTTCTTCCCTTCAAAAAAACTGATGAACAGTCCGTTTAATTCTAGTTTCCTTCCCTGTATATAAACTGGTGAACACTCCCTTTCTGCTAAGTTTCTTCCCTGTATATAAACTGTGAAACTCCGGTATGGTTTCTTAATTAAGTTTTGTCTCACCCTGGCTCCTCCTGCAATTATTGTTCTCCTCGAATTATCCAGTAGGTTGGGACTCAGAACATGCTCCAGGAGAACTTCATTACTCCAAGTTCTTATACTCAGGGTTATATCATCATCTTGAAACCCTCTATCTAAACAATAAGTTCTCAGGGTTATATCATCCTCTTGAAACCCTCTATCTAAACAATAAGTTCTTGGGGTTATATCATCATCTTGAAACCCTCTATCTAAACAATAAGTTCTCAGGGTTATATCATCATCTTGAAACCATCTATCTAAACAATAAGTTCTCAGGGTTATATCATCATCTTGAAACCAATCTATCTAAACAATAAGTTCTCAGGGTTATATCATCTTGAAACTCTCTATCTAAACAATAATTTCTCAGGGTTATATCATCATCTTGAAACCCTTCATAAATTCATAAAGTTTAGATCTTAAAGAGATTCTATAATGGTAGATATAATTGTATATTTATAGGGCGGCATGTACTATCCATAACCTTTATTTAAGTAACTAAAGGAAAATATCATCGTTTTCCTAGTTCCTAGTTCCTAGTTCCTAGTTTCTAGTTTCTAGTTTCTAGTTTCTAGTTTCTAGTTCCTAGTTTCTAGTTTCGAGTTTCTAGTTCCTAGTTCCTAGTTCCTAGTTTCTAGTTTCTAGTTTCTAGTTCCTAGTTCCTAGTTCCTAGTTCCTAGTTCATAGTTCATAGTTCATAGTTCATAGTTTATAGTTCATAGTTCATAGTTCATATAGTTCATAGTTCATAGTTTCTAGTTCCTAGTTCCTAGTTCCTAGTTCCTAGTTCCTAGTTTCTAGTTCATAGTTCATAGTTCATAGTTCATAGTTCAAAGTTCATAGTTTCTAGTTCCTAGTTCCTAGTTCATAGTACCTAGTTCCTAGTTTCTAGTTCCTAGTTCCTAGTTCCTAGTTCGAAAATTGTTAATTTCCTTCAACGTATCTACAACAAAAATCCTCAAGTCATTTTTGTAAAGAATCCACAATAGAAAAAAACAACAAATATTTTTAAAGGTAAAAACAAGGTGATCTCATTCATCAGTGATTAAACAAAGATGTAAGGCAGTATTGAAATGGAAAGCCACTTAGAATTACGGCGACAGTTACATTAAAAACATTTTAAGCGTGGCTCTTCGTGTTGCATTTAGTTAATTAACCGTTGCATCCGATTGGATCTGATTACAATGTGATATTTCTATGAGTTTTGACCATTTTTATTACGTGTCCGCTCTGTAGACCGTACGATTTGTTGTGTTTTAACCAAACTTTCCTAGACATTCGTTCAAAAATGAATACTAAAATGTTAGAAAATTCATCTCTTTTCATTGGTAAAAAATTTATTTGTTTTATCTACATTTTTAAATCTTTAAAAAATAGAAGTTTAAAGGATTAAAGTCTGGATATTCTAGAAAATTCAATGAAAAGTATTTAAATGGAAAATATTTTCTAAAAATTTAAAATTTAGTTCCAAGCATAATCTCCAAATTTTCTACCAAAATGATAATACTTTATTTTAAGGTAAATATTTTTTTTTAAATTTAATTTTTAAACATTTTTAAACTTAAGGGAGTGTTCAGCTAGTTTAAGCACACTTGAAGTTCGGAAAAAATTCTGAATGTTCTTGAGATAATCAAAATTTACAATTGAATATTTGTAAAAGAGAAATCGTTAATATTATATTTTTTTCTTGTTTTATCTTGAATACATTTTACCTAGAGCTAGGAGACAACTCTTTGCAACCATCTTCTCTTGGTCTGGGATGAGAAACCACCCGGAGCTGATTCGTCCCAACCTTGTCTCTATATATAGCTTAACCCATTCCTACTCAGTGTAAAGAACATTCATAGGTGAGCATAGTTAGCATAGGTGATCCGGTGACAAAATAAACGTTTAAAAAAAAAATATTTTTAAAGATATTTTTCATTTATGAGCTGATAGGATACTTTTCTAAGTTTTCATTATATTTTTACGTTTTGTTCCGTGTTTCCCTTCACATTTCTAACATACAGTTTACAAAATTATAAACATTGATATCTAATTCATACTTCGTCAGAAGGTCACTTGAAATTACGCTTAAGTCCCTTTAAGTTTGTATCCTTGGTTCTCTAAATGTTCCTGAGCTGAAGGATATTGAAGAGATAAGTTACCAACAGAGAGAGAGATCACAGTTGGACCTAAACAGGAACTGAATTTAAGAAATTGGAGAGCTCGCTAAACTACCGCTGCGCCGGTTCAAATCCTAAATCACCGATTTAAATTCCCATGAATCTTTAACTTTGAATCGGTGTTTTAAAATTTGAACCAGAGGTAGGCAGTTTAGTGACCTGGCTCAAGTTAATTAAATTCGGTCCCAGTGTACATAACTATACATACGTATGTACAAGTTTACCCACAAAGGAAGAGACGACGACCTTAAATTCTTTAGATAACAGGCAGGGGCGTACACAGGAATGTGTCCAAGGGGGCCTTCATTTTTTCTTTCGAGGGGGTTGGGGCTTGGCATAGACCTTACTGATCCAGGGGGGGGGGGTGGCTGAGCCCCCATAACCCCCTGTGTGCGTTGAAATTTGGTTCTCACTGCGAAATTACCGGTATGGCTTAGGGACATCGTAGCTCATATAATTTTGCATTTACAGGGAACTATTAATATTGAAAAAGGAAAAATAAAGCCTGTACAGTCGTCTCTCAAGTGTCAGCCTTTATGGGTCACCCTGTATATCATATATCATATATAGGTAACCCTGTATATCATATATCATATATGGGTCACCCTGTATATCATATATCATATATAGGTAACCCTGTATATCATATATCATATATAGGTAACCCTGTATATCATATATCATATATAGGTAACCCTGTATATCATATATCATATATAGGTAACCCTGTATATCATATATCATATATAGGTCACCCTGTATATCATATATCATATATAGGTAACCCTGTATATCATATATCATATATAGGTCACCCTGTATATCATAAATAAAAAAGTACTGCTATCTCTCCTTTATAAGGACACTTTACAACACTTGCCTCTTTTTATATTACAGACCTGAAGAATAAATATTTTGCGAATTAAAAAAAAAAATTTCTTTCAAATTAGTAATTTTTGAATAAAAATTCATAAAAATACGATAATTTAAATGTTTTCCTAGGATATTAAAAATACGGAATAAGGGGGGGGGGGATAATATGTTATTATTCAAAAATGTTTCTCAATTTTTGGTTATAAACCTGATTTTGAAGAAATATACTGCTCTAGAGGCAAGAGAGAAAACCACGAAGCCCTAAATTCAAAATTTTGATAAATTCAATTTCTGAAATTTGATATTTTAACAGAATTTATTCGAGGGCCGGATTGGATATAGAGTACAAACTGTGCCAAAAGTTAATCTTATTTTTTACTTATTCAAATTCAATCTTATTCTTTTTATTTTTTAATGTATATCTTTAAAATATAAAGCTGTAATCTCTGTTTGTCTGTTTGTTTGTTTGTCCGATCATAACTCAGGAACCCCTGGACCTATTTGTCTCAAAGTTTGATTGCAAACTCCGGAGAACCATGGGAATATTGTTAGCTTTGTTTTGAGACTCTTAAATGAGTTATTCGATTGACTTTTATCGTGAAAAATAACTAAAATCTTAGGTTACGATCAAGTGCGAGTATACGGTGGGAGAAACTATTAGCAACCTTGAAGTATTTTTAGCCTAATGATAGAAACTTAAATGTTCTCATCCTTTTGCAATCTGATGGTGTAAACCTCTATATTTCAAACTTAGTTTATTTGATCCAACATAATAAATAATGTGAAATAAGTTCTTCCACATTGTGCTGCAACGATAAATGGATTAGAAGATCTGACTTTGTGGTAAAGCCTAAATTCAATTTTTTATTTAAACCTGATTAACAATTCTCCTCTTTCGGACCGTTTTCTCTTTTCTTGATTTACAGGAAACGTAAACGTTCTCTAAATATTACAGATATTATTGAAAATTTAAACAATTTTTAAATTTGGAATTTTCTTTCAAATTTCAAACTTTTAAAATTTAAATAATTTTATTTTAACTGATTTAAAGTTTAGAATATTGGCTTCAGGAACTGAAAATACTTGCTTCAAACTCTAATTTTCTAATCCATAGATCTTTGCGACCTGAAGTCGTGTACCTTGGATATTTCTAACTATAAATTCTGTTTGATCATATAGTCTGAAATACTCAAGTTTTACACCATTATGTTGCAAAAATATAGGGGTTAGAAGATTAAATTTTGTGGCGAATGCTCAGTTCTAGTGTAAAATCATAGTAAATCATGATAAAAACAAGAAATGAATGTCCATGCAATGTATTGTTCATTTTAAACTAAATCAAAACAGTTTTACAATTTTGTGCATACCTGACTTTTTATTATTGGAGATAAATCTACTTCAAGATCCTTGATTTCGTCATCCTTAAAGGGACTGTCGACGTAATTTAAAACGAACGGTATGCCCAATTCACAAAGGTACCATTTAAAAAATAAAGAAATCCGTGTATTACCACCTGAAATTCACGCCGAACTAGAATCCCAGTCACAGGACATGCAAAAGTGTATTCGGCGAAAATTAAGTTTTAAATGTTATTCTTTTATTTTGATATTTAAATATGTCCAATCATGGAACGAGGAGAGAGTCAATCATGGAACGAGGATAGGGCAATCATGGAACGAGGATAGGGCAATCATGGAACGAGGATAGGGTCAATCATGGAACGAGGATAGGGTCAATCATGGAACGAGGAGAGGGTCAATCATGGAACGAGGAGAGAGTCAATCATGGAACGAGGATAGGGCAATCATGGAACGTGGATAGGGTCAATCATGGAACGAGGATAGGGTCAACCATGGAACGAGGATAGGGTCAATCATGGAACGAGGAGAGAGTCAATCATGGAACGAGGATAGGGTCAATCATGGAACGAGGAAAGGGTGTGGGCGGAACGAATTTGTTGGACCATTTTCAATCCCTGACTTTTGTAGATTGGAGTGAAGTTGATAATTTTCAATGGTAGTTTCTCTAATCAAGTGACCCACGCGAAATTGCGGATTTATTCTGTAGAAACACAGAAGTAAATTGGCAGAATTTAACAATTTTCGATAGCTTCCTTAGTGTTCCGCTGATAAAGGTTTAAATGGTATAGTTTTGATTAGGGCATCTTTGCATTGATGGTCACTTGAAATTACGCTTACATGGGGGGAATTCTATAGTCTCTTCTTTTTATCATCGTTAGATTTTTATGAAAAATTCGTTTATTTAAAAAAGACCTGGCTTCCTCGATCCCAATCAATGAGCTGGATTTTGAGTTTTAACCCTGTAGGGTTACGGAGAGGAAACCAAAATGTCTCCGACCAGATAGGATTCGGTTCATCCCTACAATATACGTTTATTCATGTTAATTGATCGTTTCAGAAAACTTTTAATAAACTTCCAAGATATTAAAGTTAAGGTTTGCTTTTATTAAACTTTGTAATATTTTAGTCCATAAAATAAATTGAAAAACTATAGTTATCACTGGCACATGTTTCTGTTTAGAACAAACTATTTCTAAAAGCAATTGTTTTTCTGGCAAATGTAGGCAGATAGCTAAATATATTATAGTTTCTGGCAAATATAGGCAGATAGCTAAATATATTATAGTTCTGGCAAATATAGGCAGATAGCTAAATATATTATAGTTCTGGCAAATATAGGCAGATAGCTAAATATATTATAGTTCTGGCAAATATAGGCAGATAGCTAAATATATTATAGTTCTGGCAAATATAGGCAGATAGCTAAATATATTATAGTTCTGGCAAATATAGGCAGATAGCTAAATATATTATAGTTCTGGCAAATATAGGCAGATAGCTAAATATATTATAGTTCTGGCAAATATAGGCAGATAGCTAAATATATTATAGTTCTGGCAAATATAGGCCGATAGCTAAATATATTATATTTCTGAATGTTAAGTTTTTCACTAATATTCGTGGACATTGGTCAACACGGCTTAGTTTTATTTGCCATAATATTTTTGCCATAATTACACTTGACATAATACTTTTGCCATAAGTTACGCTTGAAATAAGTCACACTTGCCATAAGTTACACTTGCCATAATGGTTACACTTGCCATAATTACACAGGAAATGTCTAAAATCAGTCTGAACTAAAAATTGGAAATAGTACCGTGTACTTGTATTTGTCCAAGATGGGCTTAAACCTTTTCTTTCCAAGGGGGGGGGGGAGCACCCGTTTGGACCTGGAAACCCCCTGGAAACCATTTATGATTCATGACTTCACAAAGGTGATTGTAGGCTGTGAATTGTATCTTCTGTTTTTTAGAAAATATACAAGCATGTACAGGTTTAAAATATACAAGCATGTACAGGTTTAAATTATACCAGCGTGTACAGGTTTAAAATGTACAAGCATGTACAGGTTTAAAATGTAAAAGCATGTACAGGTTAAAAATATACAAGCATGTAAAGGTTTAAAATTTGTACAGGCTGTACAGGTTTAAAATATACAAGCATGTACAGGTTTAAAATGTACAAACGTGTACAGGTTTAAAATCTACAAGCATGTACAAGTTTAAAATGTACAAGCATGTACAGGTTTAAAATGTAAAAGCATGTAAAGGTTTAAAATGTAAAAGCATGTACAGGTTAAAAATATACAAGCATGTAAAGGTTTAAAATTTGTACAGGCATGTACAGGTTTAAAATATACAAGCATGTACAGGTTTAAAATGTACAAGCATGTACAGATTTAAAATGTACAAGCATGTACAGGTTTAAAATGTACAAGCATGTGCATGGTAGGTGCACTTTTCTATAGAACTGAGTTTAATATCTTTAATCCTGAGCAATAAAAATAGGAAAACTCATAAAACCTTCCTCTAATTATACAACTAAAACAAGTTTTCTTAGAACAGATGAAGGAAGTTTGGAGTTTGGAGGGGGGTGTTTTTAGTTGAGATTTGATCAAGATCATGTTAAAAATTATCACATTCAGCAAAATACTTTAGTTAAAAAAGAAAATGTAAAAGTTTTTTGATCACATATACCACAATATTAAATTAGAATAGAAACAAAATTATTTTTTTATATCAGAAAAAAAAATAAAATCAATTCTAGAATCTCAAAGGTATGAATAAGAACTAAGAAGTAAGAACTCATCAATCGAACATTAATATATAAAGTTTGTGATCGTGATTTTATACTCTGACATCATCTTACAAAATGAATATATTCATTTTAAAGTTTGCTTTGATGAAGCTACTAAACATGTTTGCAGAATAAATTAAAAAATTAAACATTAATTTAGTTAGAATTGCATATTTTGGTTTAAACAAACTCATGAAATACTCAGATGGAAAAATTAAGAATATTAATATTAAAAATGAAAAAATACCTTTTCAAAATTTTTTAACTTTTTTGAATTACTAAAATGAATATGCACTAATTCACTTAACAGGATATTGTGCAAAAAAGTTTGCAAAACTTCGTTGCAAAACAGATATCTTTGAAAGATATGTATAACATTTCAAAATCATGTTTTGAAGAGTTGCAGTTGTATTAAATGCCCTAATCCATACTTTTAGATCAGTACCAATCCAGGTACAACTCAATCTAGAACTCGAATACCAAAGTCAATTCAATCCAGATACAACTCAGTCTGTATTCTCTGGTATCTGTCTTACAAGATACAACTCAACTCTCACACCGTAATCAACGTGGAGTACTATTCCAACTAACGTTTATTTTGAATTATATGATACAGGTTAAGTTTATTGAAGGTAGTTACAAGATTTGCGAAGTTATTTAAAAACGTAATTAAGCTAAATCTTGATACAGCTTTTACGTAGTTATCTACAGCGTAGTTAAAGGGAGTGTTCGCGAAAAATGAAAGAGGGTATAGGCTTAATGCGATAAAAAAGCGCTTTTGATCGCTACTAATCTTACTTCTATCTGTTGCGTCTATAAGGAGAAAATTGTTAAAGACGTCTCATACCGAATAACTTGGCGCCCATACAAATTCAGAAAATTGCAACATACGACTTAGACCGTAAAAAATCAATTTAATTTCAAACAAATTATTGAGATATTACAACCTATAGTCATCGATTATCTTTCGCCACATTTGCATATAGTTTATATTTTATAATATTTTTTAATTAATTTGTTTTGAATTTGATTATTTCTCTTGCGGCTTACGCAACTTTCTAAGAATGCCGCGGACCACTCACATTTTTCGAAATCAGTTAAAACGTTTTCTGAAAAAATAAAATATTATTAAATATAAATTATATACAAATGTGGCGAAATATAATCGATGACTATAGGTTGTACTATCTGAATGATTTGTTTGAAATTAAATGTTTTTTTTTACGGTCTAAGTCGTATGTTGCAATTTTCTGAATTTGTATGGGCGCTAAGTTATTCGGTATTAGACGTTTTTAATAAGTTTCTCCTTATAGACGCAACAGATAGAAGTAAGATTAGTAGCGATCAAAAGCGCTTTTTTATCGCGTTAAGCCTATACCTCCTTTCATTTTTCGCGAACACTCCCTTTAAGGTAATCATATTACAAGTCTTACGCAGTTATTTACGAACGTTGATATTTACCTGAACTACGTTGTACATTATACAGCTATAGGGTTACATGATATTCATTTCACAACACCTTGGTTTTTATTTTCAACATACTTTTATAGCCCTATCATATAAAAACATAATCATTTCTTCCTTTGCTTTAGAGTAACATGGGAATCTCCTTATACATTGTTTGTGTTAGAACATGCACTTCTTGGTGTACTTTTTGCATTTTGTCTTTTTTTTGACGAAGGCTTTACAAGAACAATTATTTTAAAAATATAAGTGAGTTTATGAAGGTAGATAGTATGCCTCATAATTTAAACCATTTGTATGGGAAATTTTAGGAAAATTCAGAAAGGAACTGAGTTCTTGCAACAAACACTGATTTCCTAATACCTTATCTTTGCAACCCGACTTCGGAGATCTTTGATATTTCAAAATATAAATTCTGTTAGATCAAATAATCTGAGTTTGAATTATCAAAGAGTTAAGCGCACCAGGTTTCAAAGATAAAAGGATTAAAAAATTAAGTTTGTAACAAAAACGCGGTTTCTTTGACATTAGGCGAGGCCAACACTAATTGAGTTATATTCAATCCAACTTTCTGGTAAAACATTTTTTCCATGTTTTAGAAATGAACATAAAAATATATTTTATTTTATTTTTTATTCATTGCTTATAAACGTTGTACTCCGGGAATGACTCGCATTTTTATTTTTCAAGAAACCATTAGGTTTAAAGTTTTGGATAAATTATAAAAAGTTTAGAAATTGTTTTGTTTTTTTTCATGAGAAATGTTTCTTTTCTATTAGTTTTTGCTGGTAGGGGGCTGCACTATAGGGATTTATTTGCAGCTATATTGAAAACATATATTTGCAGATATATTGAAAATATATATTTGCAGTTATATTGAAAATATATATTTGCAGATATATTGAAAATATATATTGGCAGCTATATTGAAAATATGTATTTGCAGCTATATTGAAAATATATATTTGCAGCTATATTGAAAATATATATTTGCAGCTTTATTGAAAATATATATTTGCAGCTATATTGAAAATATATATATTTGCAGCTATATTGAACATATATATCTGCAGCTATATTAAAAATATATATTTGTTTACACTATTCTAACATTGTGTGTTTATCCTATCTAAATTACAAAAGGCAGTTCGATCTTTCGAACGCTCTAATATGAAATGAACATGCGGTGTTCACTAAGTACTCCCTCTCCCTGGCATAACCCTTCATAACATTGCTTTTGCAAAAACTTGAAAGGCTTTACTAAAGACACAATAAAATTGCATACAACCAAATAATTTATCTTTTTGATACGCATAGTGAAAAAACTTTTCAATGAGAACAAACTGTTTTTTAAGCTCTTGCTCAATGTTTCTCTTCATAATTTCTTTTTGTGATTACATTTCTTATTTTTGGATTGTTAATAAAGAGTTGACAGCTTAATATTGATAAAACACTCTGAACAATTTTCCTTTCAAAGTTCCAACAAAGCCTTTTCAGTATTTTTTTCAGTAATATTAAAGAAAAATTAAAAGATGTAAAGAACTTTCAAAGAACTGATTACTTGCCATAAAATTAAATTTTGTAATCCCTATTTCTTTCCAACCTTACGGTGTAAACCTTTACAATATTTAAAGTTTAACTAATTTATAGGTTTTATAGTTTAAAATCACATCAGGTTGCAACGATTTAAGGATTAGAAAATTAGAGTGTGAAGAAAGTAATCAGTTCCTTTGTACGTAGACTGTATGCTTGATGTTTAGTATTTGAAATTTAATGAAATCAAAAGATTTTTATTAAAGTTTTAAATTTGACGAATTGTTATTTAAAATCTTAACATTTAACAATGAATTTAATTTAATTAACTTCTGTAACTTTACAGCATATATTCATGTATATATTAAAAGTTTAGATATATCTAGGGAACTAACTTTATATTTGTAATTAATAAACTTTACTCCTGGGACCGAGCGGTTTAAGTAGGGCTGGGACCAAGGGTTCGGCAAATTTTTTGAAACTTTCGAAAAATTCCGATAATGGAAGAAAAAGATTTATTAGTTTACGGACATTTTTTCATATGAAATCTATATGAAAAGAGATGATATCATAATAATTAGGTTAACGTCTTATAATAATTTTTAAATTATACTATATCAATATTTTAGTAACGCTCATATATTAATGAAGAAACATGTTTGGAATAAATACTCATCAATTTTGTTTACTAGAAAAAAAATTTCAAAAAAGAAGTTATTTAGGGTTTAGGGATTTAAATATGTGATTTACATTGCCGCTGATTCCCATCTCAGTGCTTTAAGTCGGATTAGGATATTAACTTTACAACTATTTTACTCACACAATAAATCTTACTTGAGGATTCTAGTTTTTTTTAGGTCAGATCCAATAGATACAGTACAGTACGGGTCTACTCTAGAACCTGAACATGAACTGTAAAGTGTACAGTATACAGTACGGGTCTACTCTAGAACCTGAACATGAACTGTACAGTATACAGTTTACAGTCCGGGTCTACTCTAGAACCTGATCATGAACTGTACAGTGCACAGTATACAGTTTACAGTCCGGGTCTACTCTAGAACCTGATTATGAACTGTACAGTGCACAGTATACAGTGTACAGTACGGGTCTACTCTAGAACCTGAACATGAACTGTAGAGTGTACAGTATACAGTGTACAGTACGGGTCTACTCTAGAACCTGAACATGAACTGTACAGTGTACAGTATACAGTGTACAGTACGGGTCTACTCTAGAAACTGAACATGAACTGTACAGTGTACAGTATACAGTTTACAGTACGGGTCTACTCTAGAACCTGAACATGAACTGTACAGTGTACAGTATACAGTGTACAGTACGGGTCTACTCTAGAACCTGAACATGCACTGTACAGTGTACAGTACGGGTCTACTCTAGAACCTGAACATGAACTGTACAGTTTACAGTATACAGTACGGATCAACTCTAGAACCTGAACATGAACTGTACAGTGTACAGTTTACAGTTTACAGTACGGGTCTACTCTAGAACATGAACATGAAATGTACAGTTTACAGTATATAGTACGGGTCTACTTAAGAAACTTTAGATGTACAGTGTACATTATACAGTAAAAGTGTACTTTAAAACCTGAACATGAACTGTACAGTATACAGTACAGGTCTACTCTAGAACCTGAAAATAAAAAGTACAGTGTACAGTGTACAGAAAGCGACAATAATTCTACTGGGTGCTGGATTTCTTAGAATAGATAATTAAGAAAGATATGTAACTTAATATATTTCACTCAATTATACATGTTAACAAGATACAAATCCCTAAATCTATAATTCTATATGAAAGTAGTTTACCTAAAAATCCAAGATCTTTGTAAGGCAGATTTAATCCTCTTATTTGATCAACTCTTACAACACCTAAAATAAACAGTAGTTTGATTCCAGAGCATCAGTTCAGATTTTGTTTTTTTCAACATTCAAATTATCATTTTATAAAAAACCTTGCATCAAATGTTTATGGCAACTTTTATTTAGGTCTGAAGTTTTGCTACGTTGTTATAGTTGTTTTCCGACTTAATACAGTGTTAGGAGATTATATCAGTACAAGAAAGACGACATTTTTATTTAAGTTTTGACCGTTAACAAGCTTTTTTCGAGTTAGCAAAAATAACAAAAGTTTAAGATGTGGAGATTAGGAAATTATAGTATTGGTTTTTATTTTAAGAAACCCATGTTTATGACATAAACGAAAAGGTTTTCTGATCATTCTGGGCACCAAGAACATCTTTGAGCGATTAGATTGGTTTAGTTTAGCTGTGTCCCTAATTCTAAGATATCTAAGGTATCTTGTTTGTTTTAATATACAGGGTGTCCCACATCATGGATGGTGTTGAAGATTTAAATTGCGATTTCCGGTAGTTTTCAGAAAATCTAAAAAGAACGAATCATTTATAAAAAATGTATATTGCTAATATGAAGATGATGTGCATATTTTGGCGCCATAAGCTTGGAGATAATATAATATAATATGTGATTCTCTATAGGTAGACAAGGAGAACACTCCATGTAATTCTTGGAACTATTTAGGTGAACACAAAGACTTTGCTAATTAAAGATAGCGCATCAGAAAATCTACGCAAATTTGACGCATTTTCATGGGTACTGAAAGATTGTAACAAAGGTCTTCTTCTCCAGAAATGCTGACGTTTCATAATGGCGTCTTTTGTAATTGTAAGGAATTAAATAGTTATTTAAAAACAAACAAGGAAACAACTTTAGTTTTTCTATCTAGTCCATACAAGTGACTAGTGGAAAGACAATGAACATAATTTACAGAATTCATCACTTTTTAAGTTGAAATAACGACAATATCTTCCTCATTGTTACCCATATAAATGTTTAAATGGTACAGTTGTCTATCAGTCCTTAAGAACATTTACTTTTGGTTTGAAGTATATTAAGTGTTTATAAGAAGAAAATTAATGTCACGTATCTTTTATGCATGTAACCTTGTACTTTTCAACAGTAATCAATTATTTCATTACTTTTTCATTCAAGATTGAATTCTCTCTCTACCTGATTTAAATGAATGATTGAAAAATATAACTTCATAATATTTATTTAAAAATGTAATAGTTTTTACAAAATTGGGATATTTCTCTGTAAGGAATTCCTATGATCCAATAAAAGAGCCTTCGTCCAAACTTTTTTCTTTTTGGATCTGCTGGCATTGTAAACGCAGACTCTCCTATTCTTGGTTGGCTTGGCAGTTGGGTATTCTTTAATGATGGATATTTTGAAACATAATTCCCATAAATTAATTGAAGAGTAAGATTAATACATTAATTTATGCGATATCATTTCTTTGCCTAAGATTAAACAGAAGACGACATTTACAAAAAAATTATTTACCCTTTATAATATTTGAAATTTCTGGTCCCCTCTCTTCTTCATCGCCTAAAATTCCATTCTATAGAACCTCAGGAAAAATATTTGACGACATCTGAAAATTTTCACTAACAATTATTGGCTATTTTTAATACAAAAGAGATGCGTAACTTTATCACAAATTCAGCTATAATTCACCAGACGATCCTCATATCCAACAAATGATTAAATAAATTTTAAAATACAAATAAAAATCGTTAATTTTAGTTATTTTTTAGCACAAAACATTCACAATTATGTTAAATAACTAAGGTTTTAATGTCGATCGTTTGACTCTCAAACAACCAAAATAACCAATGACGTCAAAATACAGCTGTACAAGCGTACACAATAGTCGGATAAATTTCCAACGCCTCGTCTTTTTAATTAGCAAAGTCTTTGGGTGAACACTCCCTTTAATTCTTGGAACTATTTAGGTAAACACTCCAAGTAATTCTTGGAACTAATTAGGTGAACACTCCCAATAATTCTTGGAACTATTTAGATGAACACTCCCTTTAATTTTTGAAACCATTTAGGTGAACACTCCCTTTAATTCTTGGAACCATTTAGGTGAAAAATCTTTTTAATTCTTGTAACTATATAGGTGAACACTCCCTTTAATTCTTGAAACTAATTAGGTGAACACTCCCTTTAATTCTTGGAACTAATTAGGTGAACAATACCTTCAATTCTTGGAACTAATTAGGTAAACACTCCCTTTAATTCTTGGAGCTAATAGAATGAATAAGTCTACCTCTACTGCGGTAGTTTTGTTTGTTAATCATCAAGAAACCTTTATTTATCTCCAGACAGCTCTCTGATCTGCAGGTTTACCCAAAAAACATGAGAATGAATGACGACCTCAAACTCTTTAGATAGGACGATCTGAAGGTTGAACTTGATTTTAATAAAACAATTAAAGGAATTGAGTATTTGAAACAAACTCAGATTTTCTAATCCCTATATCTTTGCAATGAAATGTCGTTGACCTTTAATATTTAAAACTATGAATTCTGTTAGATCAAATATTCTAAGCTTGAAATATCAAAGGTTTAAACCATCCTGTTGCAAAGAAATAAGGATTAGAAAATTGGAGTTTGTAGAAAATACTTAACTTCTTGACGATAAGTAAAGAGAATAATAGAGCTTAAAGGAAACATGAATGTAAGTATATACAGCCGTCTCTGCAAGTCTCATCCTTTGTGGATAACCCTGGGGCTCTAACCTGCAGGTATTGGATTCGGATACAAAGAATTATCCGTCCTGTCCCGGATATTGATGGTGAGAAGGTTTGGAGAAACTAGATTGGTCTCCAGGATATCGTCTAAACCCTGAATATATATGTACTCGGATAATAAATGAATATACAATGCTCAGGGTACAATAATATATCAGAGATAAATATGTTTATTGTGCAAGCTATATTAGAATAAACTCAAGTTTTCCTGACAAACAAATTCAACATTTAATTGGTTAAAACTGAAAGTGAAGACTCGCTGACCACATCCTCAACTAAGCTTTCGGTGAGTTCTGCAGTAAATTGCAGTACACTGATCGAGGATATATAAATCAAGTCATCTGAATCAGTGTGCAATATACCATGCGAAAATAACCAATTAAATTCAATGAAGTAAATTAAAAACATCAACGGACATTTTTTGATCATTAATGTTTGTGCTTTTTGAGAGAAAAATATTAATATTCGTGCAAAAAGAAATTAACTTTAAATCAGAACACATTTAGACGGATTTCATTCCTTTACTCATAGAAAAAGAATCTTGATCTGAAAATACGAGAAAAAATTCGTATAAACTCAAGGATCTTTTATCTACAAGTATTCTTAAAAAGGAACAATAATAAAATTAAATTTGTAAATGGAAAAGGCCCATTAAATATAATAAATGGAAAAATGTTTTTGAAAAGCTAGATCGAAGTTTTGATGATATTAATATATTTATATATTATATATTGAAGGATATTTTTACATTTTCATATCATAAATCTTATTAATTGTTTCACAAACAGCCAATAAATTCAAAACTTTGAAATAAAGAATTCAAAATAATCTTATTTATTCAGGAAAGTAAGGTTGTGGATTTAAACCATGATATAAAAAGCTTCACCCGTCATAAATAAAAATAAATTTGAATATGCAATATTGGAAAAAAGGAACGCATTCATGAGAAAAAAGTGATAAAAAATAAAGGTATCACAGGGTGTGTTTATGGAGGCGGGGGTGGGGGGGGGCATAACTTTTATGTGTAAATAAATTTTATGTGGACATAACTTTTATGTGCACATAACTTTTATGTCTTTGTGAGTAAAATTCATGTAATAATATTTAAAGAAACAAGGAATCTTTTGATGCATTTATTTTAATTTTACCAATTTTGGAATCCTGAGAATGTGAATTCAATGAATGAATGGACAGTTTTATCATATTTTCAAGCTTTTTATAAATTGTTAGAACCCCAAATCCAAGATATTTATTTTTACTGAAAAGAACTAAAGTTCTGTGAAAAAAATTGCAATCAAAGGAATTGAGTCTTTGCAAAAAACTCTGCTTTTCTAAACACTATATTTTAGGATTCCAATGTCGTAGACCTTAGATATTTCAAACTATGAATTCTGTTATAGATCAAATAATGTAAGTTTGAAATATCAAAGATTTACGACTTTGGGTTTCAAAGATATAAAGATTATAAATTCAGAGTTTGTGGCAAGGACTCAATTCCTTTGTTAAGAAGAAAACTCTAATTTCAAAATTTTCGAATCTTTTTTTTTAAATGTGAATTTACTCACGTCTCTTATGTGGGTTCGGAGTAGAGGGAAATCCAAGATATTGGCTCCACCCTAAACACAAAAAAATCATATATTTGCTTCACCCTAAAAAATTAAAATTTGCTCCACCCTAAACACAAAATAATATATTTGCTTCACCCTAAAAAATTATAATTTTCTCCACCCTAAACACAAAGTAATATGTCTGCTCCACCCTAAAAACAAAGTAATATGTTTGCTCCGCCCTAAAAACAAATTAATATGTTTGCTCCACCCTAAAAACTGAGAGAATGAAGCAAATCAAAAAAATTTTACTTTTAATTTTTGTACACTTTACTAGAAGTTAAGAATTCTGAAAATGCACAATAATGAACTGCACAATTAAAAGTAAAGTGGGTACAAGATGAAAAGGATATTATAGAAGAATTTTGCATGAAGGATTTGCAACTCATGGTGTTGCTGCAATTACATGTATTTAGTGCAAAATTAAGATGAATGACATCAATCTTTTCTAAATTAATTATCTTGCAATTTGCCAATAGCTTTTAAGCTAAGCTGCAAAAGGCCATTGAGATTTTTTATTAAAAGTAAATTAATTCAAACATATAACTAATAAGAATACAAATTCTGCTTAAAATAATTATAAAAGAGTTTACCTAGATCAAACTTTATATTACCGTCGTTTCCGCCTACTTATATATCACACTACATATTACTGTGGTTTCCACCTACCTCTAGATCAAACTTCATATCACTGTGGTTTCCACCTATAACTTTTAGATGAAACTTCATATTACTGTGGTTTCCACCTAATTAAAGATCAAACTTCATTTCACTGTGGTTTCCACATACATCTAGATAAAACTTCATATTTCTGTGGTTCGCACCTATACTTATATATCACACTACATATTACTGTCGTTTCCACCTACTTATATATCACACTTCATATTACTGTGGTTTCCACCTACCTCTAGATCAAACTTCATATCACTGTGGTTTCCACCTATAACTTTTAGATCAAACTTCATATTACTGTGGTTTCCACCTACCTCTAGATCAAACTTCATATCACTGTGGTTTCCACCTATAACTTTTAGATGAAACTTCATATTACTGTGGTTTCCACCTAATTAAAGATCAAACTTCATTTCACTGTGGTTTCCACATACATCTAGATCAAACTTAATATTTCTGTGGTTTGCACCTACTTATAGATCAAACTTCATATTACTGTGGTTTCCACCTACCTCATGATCAAACTTCAAATTACTGGGGTTTCCACCTACCTCTAGATCAAACTTCATATTACTGTGGTTTCCACCTACCTATAGATCAAGCTTCATATCACTGTGGTTTCCACATACCTCTAGATCAAACTTCATATCACTGTGGTTTCCACCTACCTCTAGATCAAACTTCAAGACTGGGGTTTCCACCTACTTATAGATCAAACTTCATATTACTGTGGTTTCCACATACCTCTAGATCAAAATTCATATTACTGTGGTTTCCACTTATCTCTAGATCAAACTTCATATTACTGTGGTTTCCACCTACCTCTAGATCAAACTTCATATTACTGTGGTTTCTAATTACCTCTAGATCAAACTTCAAGACTGGGGTTTCCAAGAAACCGAACTGTATGTAGTCAAAAAATCCTCCCTTCCCACTACAATAAGCATAAATTCCATTAATTTGCAAAATTATTTTCATAAGGCTGTACCCATAGAGAATATAATATATAGAGAGGAATTAAAAGAATCTCTCGGTATGAATTTTTTCAGTCCCTTTCAGCCTGAAAGGGAGTTCAAAGTGTACAAATCATGTAAATGTTCACAAATTATATGCAGTAGAGTACACAAATACAGCATGTTTCCTAGACTATCCATTTCGATTTCGAATTTTTAAAACTGTTTAATAAACTTCATAATGAATTAGGTGAATGAAAACATCATTTGATTTATAGTTATAACGGAAAATCATCGTTTGTAAAGTGGAAGGCATAGAGTCTATGTGAAATGTTCATTGGTCAATTATGAAACCAGCCTATTTCATAATTTAGTTTTTTATATTTTCTATAAAATGATATTCCAGGGCCCAACAGGTTATATAGCATAAATATGTGAAGTACACCTGCAGTATGGAAACAGTACAACAAAATGGCCGTTTTACACTTTTTTCCAGTAAATTCCTCTCTATATATTCTATTCTCTATGGCTGTACCAGTACAAAAAAGGAGTACGGTAAAAATTATCTGTTACAAACAAAAAAATGTTACAAATCAACGAACTTACTTTTAAGCAGATGCAGTGCAAATTGTACAGTATGCTTACAGACTAAAGACGGCCAAACGGATCTTAACACCAATTAAATCCTTGTGAGCAGAAAACTCGAATTTACCTAATGAACACATGAATCCTGATAGTTCCTTTAACCTCCAGATCATCCAACCCACCCCACACCTTCATTAGTCTAAACCCCAAGAAGAAATCACCTGAATGTAAATAATTAGTCATACTATATATAAAAAACAATACATGCATATAAATCCTAATTAAGAGAAGGTTGGGATTTACAGCTTATTCTAACCAAGTATGAATTATATAACCATGTTTAGAATTTTGAAAACTATACATATATTCATTTGTGGTTTCTCTACAGCAGGGAAACCACGGAGAAATTATCGTAATTAAACACTTTTCAAGCTAAAAAACGACGTTATCTTCCACATGATTGGTCAGATGAAGAGTTTAAAGGGGCAAGCCATGTAAAGACACCACTAACAAAAGTCCTCCAACCTGTATAATTGAACTGTATATCCAGAACTATCTCCTGTGTACAGGTACTTGGACATACTCTTAGATTAATTATTCTTGGAATACTGTCTCCTAAATCTATCCGCTCAAGTCTAAACAAAGTGGACAGATTTGAGATGATATTGATCAATACTATCTGAGGTTAATATTTTTGTATGGTTAATCGCTCTAGAAATCACTAATCCGTATATTTTAATCCGATCGCGAAAAAATCAAGTATTTTACGCACTTAATCGCCCAAATAAAAGTAAGTTGGTAAATAAAACAAAGGCCACAGTCGAGCCAGTCTAATAATTTTATGTCTAACTATATCTCAGTGGTGATTAAATAGCTAACTTTTATGTCTCGACTTTCTAACAAAAAAGACGGATTCGCGCTTCCGGCAAGGGATAAAAATACAAATGTTCCAACCTCAGATATTATTGAACAACTTTGTTAATAAAATAATTTTTCTAAAGATTAAGTTATAAACTTTTACAAACAATATCTCCCCCCTCCCTCCCCCCGTTTTGTATCCATAGAGAATGGAATATACATTAGAGGGGAATTTACTAGAAAAAAGTGTAAAACGGCCATTTTGTTGTACTGTTTCCATACTGCAGGTGTACTTCACATATCTATGCTATATACTTTTTTGGGCCCTGGAATATCATTTTATAGAAAATCTAAAATTATTGTTAAAAGAAAACCAAATTATGAAATAGGCTGGTTTCATAATTGACCAATAATCATTTCACATAGACTCTATGCCTTTCACTTTACAAACGATGATTTTCCGTTTTAACTATAAATCAAATGATGTTTTTATTCAACTAATTCATTATAAAGTTTATTTAACAGCTTTAAAAATTTCGAAATTGAAATAAATAGTCTAGGGAACATACTGTATTAATGTACTCTACTGTACATAATTTGTGAACATTTACATGATTTGTAGACTTTGAACTCCCTTTCAGGCTGAAAGGGACTGAAAAAATTCATACCGAGAGATTCTTTAAATTCCTCTATAATATATATTCTATTCTCTATGATTGTATCATATGTTGAACCAATGAAAAAGAAGAAAAAGTTTTGGTGATTTTTTATGATTTTGACTGCACAAAATCCAGAGATTGAAAAGTAAATCTATATAATGGGCAAAACTTCCGTTGATGGCTTCTTTATTATACAATAAATGATTTTGGAGGTTGATAGAAAATATATGGTAAATTCTTCACCCTGATTTCGATCAGTGAAATCAGGGTGAAGAATCTAATTAAAATCCTGAATTTAATCCAGGGATTAACAACACAAAAGTTCGGACCTCGGTACTCGATTTTTTTTGTAAAATGGCATTCAAAAATGTAAATGAGTTATATATATGTGTAAAATGTGTGAAAATTGTTTGCAACATTTCAAAATGCATTTAGGGCATGGTATGAGTGATGACCAGTAAAAACGACCACTGAGGGGGTTTAGGTTCCAAAGAATAAAGAATTAAATTTCAATTATTCCAATTATTATAAAAACATCAGATGTTTAAGCAGACCCATTTCTCATAATAAGTAGATTTTCAAGGTACAAGTAAAGCTATTCGATATAGAAGAAAATCAAATACATTTAAATGTCGTTATGTCGTTAGTTTTTGTCAGCGGCTTATGCGCAAGTAGAAGTTTTTATAGATTTAAATTTATAAAAAAAAACATTTATGTAATTTTTCCAGAATATCCAATATCTACTTGATCAGATCTAGGATTGCCAATATTCGGATTGCCAAAACCCCTGCCAATTTTGCACATCACTAGGATATATACTTCTTACCCCACATAACACGAAGTCTGCAAAGATTTAGCAAATATCGAGAAAAGTTTAGAATGTAAAAATTCTACAATTTTCACAATTTGTCTTCAATTTTTGCTTTGCTGAATATGTTTTAGAGCAGGGAAGATACACAAGGATTTAAATACATGACCTATGAAACCCCTAATCGTTGTTTAAATTAGAAGTACAGTACAGTACAGAAGGTTCTGGGAGAAATGTAAACAAATGATTCTATTCCTTTCAGAATCTGCAGTACACTAAACAATAAACATAGAATATATGAGGGATATTAAAGCAGAACTTTTGAGTTGTTTATCCTAGGGATTGAACCAGGGAGTAAGGAATAGAAGGGAGATATAACTGACGCGGTTCGCCCTACCATATGATTATACATGCTTTGCAGACGAGTACTCCATTTGTATAAGAAGTATTTGTCTGATGTACATTTACTGTGTATACAATAACCTATTCTGAACATTTCATATACAAATGGAGTACTCGTCTGCAAAGCATGTATAATCATATGGTAGGGCGAACCGCGTCAGTTATATCTCCCTTCTATTCCTTACTCCCTGGATTGAACATTATCTCAACTTTATGCAGGTCTATGGATTAATGTAATTACATCGCAGCTGGATAACTGAATATTTGCAAATTATCTTTTTTCCATCTCATGATCTGAGTTCGTTTCCCTCTTGTCCATTTGAGAGCCCATTTTTTTAATAATCTTTTTTGTTTGTTTATTTTATTGAGGTTTTTGCTATCGATTTTGATGATTATGAAATCGTTAGAAGTGGCGAGGGTCAACCCAGACCGAAATATATTTTCAATCAAATGTGGAACTAACATCTACTTTATTTACTCTACAGAGGTTTGGTCTATCACCATCACCGAAATTTGGATAACTTTAATCGAGAAATTAAGCAATTTAAAGATACCAACATTGCATATTCTCAATATAAGCGTTCAAGATTAAGGAATAAGGATACAATCTATATATAAATTTGGCTTGTCTGTCTGTTTGTTTGTTTGTCTGTTTGTATCCAATAAACGTCCAAACGGCTGAACCGATCGGGCCCAAATTTTTTGTGGGACATCACGTGACCACAGGGAAGGTTTATGAATGATAAAGATTAAAAAAAAAATGTGTTTTAAAGATTTTTAATTTTGTAAAAAAATTAATTTGTAAAAATTCTTAAAAAACCGCGAATTTTTTTTTAAATCCGCAAAATTTTTTTTCTTCTTTGTTTTGAATGTAAACAAAAAAAAACAGTTCACAATTTAAATAGATGGGCGCGAAGCGCCATAAAAGCCTAGTAAACTAAATTTACGATCTTTGATGCATCTTTTGCTTGTATTATGTATTAATGCAAAAAAATTATTTCTTATTGATAATAATTGAGCCCCCTCCATGGTGCTCAAAATTTTAGAAATAGTTCATGTAAAAATATTGTAAGTTATGTACCTCAATTAAATGTATTAAATAATTATTTTATTATAATAAAAACTTTTCTTTTGATTTATGATAATACAACATTTCTTTTAAATAATAATAATATAATCTTTTTTTATTTATTTAGTTTTCAGAAAGGTTATATCGATCAATTTGCTGTAATTTTTTATAGTTTTGATAAATCGTAGAGCTAGACCTAATCTTATCAATCTTTACAAAGGAAGGCATCTGCTTATTAAATGATGTGGGTAGATATCAAAGAGAATAGAATATATATTAGAGTGGAATTTACTATAAAAAAGTGTAAAACGGCCATTTTGTTGTACTGTTTCCATACTGCAGGTGTACTTCACATTTTTGTGATATATAACCTTTTGGGCCCCGGAACATAATTTTATAGAAAATCTAAAATTAATATTAAAAGAAAACCAAATTATGAAATAGGCTGGTTTCATAATTGACCAATGATCATTTCACATAGACTCTATGCCTTTCACTTTACAAACTATGATTTTCCGTTATAACTATAAATCAAATGATGCTTTTTATTAATTTATTTTAAAAAGTTTATTTAACAGTTTAAAAAATTCGAATTTGAAATGGATAGTCTAGGGAACATACTGTATTAATGTACTCTACTGCATATAATTTGTGAACATTTACATGATTTGACTTTGAACTCCCTTCCAGGCTGAAAGGGACTGACAAAATTCATACCGAGGGATTGGCTAAATTCCACTCTAATATATATTCTATTCTCTTTTGTAGATATTCAGAGTAAAATGAAATGTATCTATTCCAAATAGTCAATTGTACTTTATTTAGTTTATTATTCACTTTAAACACAGATTTCTAATCTTTATAGTTTAACAACCTGATAAATTTTGCTATAGATTAAATAGTCAAAAATTTTATCATGATGGTATTCCCTATTTATTGTAAATGCGTTCAGTTGTATTGTCCAGTCTGGACTACCCAATGTAAAGTCGTTCCAGCACGTTTAGACAAAAAATGTTATAGCCTGGGAAGATTACATGTGGCATGGTTTGAAATAAACTAAGTCAAGACATGCCCTTCATAATCAGAAGAAAACTGTATATCATACACTTAAAAACGTACTAAAAAGTAAACATTACCAAAAATATACTTTTTTTACGGAAAACATTGGATTTAAAGTGAATGTTCACTGGCTACCTTATTTGTACATCTGAATTACAGTGTTTACGAACGTGTAAATATAAATTGTAGTGTGTGAAAATGTCCGAGTGTTTAGGACAGTTTATGGAGATAAATAGAGAGAGGAAGACATATTTAATATTTCAGACCAGACGCGCTCAGAGTGTTTATATACTGCACAATATATTTAATATTTCAGACCAGACACGCTCAGAGTGTTTATATACTGCACAATATATTCAATATTTCAGACCAGACACGCTCAGAGTGTTTATATACTGCACAATATATTCAATATTTCAGAAAAGACACGCTCAGAATATTTATGTACTGCACAATATATTCCTTCCAGGCAAATTGGAAACAAACTCATTGTATTTGTATCACATTTGGGGTTTCCTAAGCAGTTTAAATATCATTATCTTTTTAAAAACATTTTTTGTATACAATGTACTTTTCGAGAACCCTCCCTTTAAGTTAAGAACAGATTTTTTAACAAAGATATATTTTTTATTTCTCTTGGCAAAATGTTATGAATACTATGAGTATACGTTGAACAATCCTTTTCTGAGAAGAAGGTTCTTTCATATTTTATCATAATGTTTATTATCTCTTTATACAATGTATAAAGGATGTTTATCTAACTCGCTTTTCGTCTCATTAAGCCCGGGGAACCAAACAAATATATTTTCTACAGAATAATATGATTCATAACTAAAGATGGAAATAGTTTTTAAACATTGAAAGTTTTAGACTTTTGAAAAGAGAAGTTTAAAATATTTCAAAATTGTATTCTATTTAAGTTTACTTTTATCACATTCTGCAAGATTTTTATTTTGAACAACGACCCACTAAATAATTTATGAAAATTATTTATTAATGATTTTCATTATGGTTTTTAGCATTACATCTTTGTCACAATAATTTCCTTAAATGGGATTGGTACAATTTGTTTACTGTCCTGTTTTGCCTGGTATAATCTGTATGTGTACTGTACCACGGTGGACTAAGATCAATTTGAATTCGAATTGAAACGACCCCTTGTACCGGCCTTAGTGACGCACGCGGCAAAGTACGAGCCCGACCCTACACGAAGCCGGCTCGGTTTCAATTTTGATAGCGCGACCAGACTGTTGTCTGTTGGTAATTTTTTTTTGAATTTTTCAAAGAAAACAGACAATGTAAAGCTGTACTGAACCCTGACTGTATACTGTATTGTGTATGGTAAAGTCTATATTTATAAAGCAGTAATCTCTGTTTGTTTGTCTGATTGTAATTCATGAACTCTAGACCGATTTGCCTCAAATCTTGAATGGGGATCTGAGAACAACACGACTGTTCTTCGCTTGGGTTAAAGATTCCAAATTGACTTTTAAAAGGAAAACTTAGTTTCCATGCAAAGAAATTGAGTTTTTGCTACAAACTCAAATCTTCTGATCCCAATATCTTTTCAACAACCTGATGGTGCAAACCTTTGATATTTCAAACCTTTGATTATTGTATCTCTAAGTACTAATAGATTGAAATATCTAAGGTCTACGACATTGGATTACAAAGATATAGAGATTAGAAAATCAGAGCTTGTGGCAAAAACTCAACTCCTTTGGGCTCCCAAGCTATAATGAATAAATTCAAGATTTGCATACCCCTATAGTATAGAAATGTATCACAAGATTACTTTTTTAATTTGCGTAGAACAAAATATTTTAAATTGAGAGAACCAGGATATGAGAAACAATAAATAGAGAAAAGGAGGAAAAAAACGAAAAAAATTATATTTTGTAGTGTTCACCTGAATGAATTCAGCTGACTGGAATAAAGTTCTAAGGTTTTCCTGAAAAGAATATTTTGAACATTTTGTTTTTATTAAAAATTCTAAGAGTTCAAATTTTTTAGAGTGGCACTACGGTTCCACTCCCCTATAAACCTATATTAGAGTAACAATGGAAAAGATATATTTGTTTTTCTATCTAAAAATATGTCGAATTCTGACAATTTTCTTCATTTTCTGTACAGCATAAATCCGCAAGACACAATTATATGCAGACAATCACGATTGAAATTAAACAATTTCCAGGTATTATTAAACTCAGGATATTTCCTTTTAATTTCAAGGGTATATCGATCCTTTAAAATGACGTCCACAGTTCCTTAAAGATAGAATGCTAATTTGAATTTCCTTAACCTGATATTCTGCTCTATCTCGTTCTTTCCCCATCTATTCACCTGAAACACACAAACAAAATAATTCATAATTTAAACAGGAAAACTAGAAAGAATCCAAACATGAAGTAAAACAAAATGGAGGACACCAACATGAGAAACCAAAATTGAACTTAAGGAAACCAACAGAAGAAAACCTATATGGTGGAAACCAATATGAAGGAAACCAACGTGGTGGAAACCAATATGAAGGAAACCAACATATATAGAGTGTAGAGTGTAGAGTGTAGAGTGCAGAGTGTAGAGTGTAGAGTGTAGAGTGTAGAGTGTAGAGTGTAGAGTGTAGAGCGTAGAAGGTAGAGTGTAGAGTGTAGAGTGTAGAGTGTAGAGTGTAGAGTGTAGAGTGTAGAGTGTAGAGTGTAAAGTGTAGAGTGTAGAGTGTAGAGTGTAGAGTGTAGAGTGTAGAGTGTACAGTGTACAGTGTAGAGTGTACAGTGTACAGTGTACAGTGTAGAGTGTAGAGTGTAGAGAAGGTGTCTGATAAGCCAGAAATGAATCTAGTCACGATTCTTTTAGTACGGGGAAATATAAAAATTAATTTTGCCTCATATTGTAATCTTGGCCAAAACTGCTCCAATAGAACGTGAATCCAACTGAACCCTTCGCATTTCTCGGAAGTGGCAAATCTGAAAAAAATGAATTGATCTTTGCCACAAACTCAAATTGTCACACCTGACAGTGAAAAACTTAGATATTTCAACCTTACATTTTTTGATATTACAGAATTCACAGTTTGAAATATCTAAAGTATATACGACATCATTGGTTGCAAAGACTCAATTTCTTTGATGAATATACTCAATGAACATTGCACAATTTAATGTTTTTTTTATCACCTTGGAGAATCTTGAAAACACTTCGCCTCCTAAAAAAATATATTTTTATCATTAGAATATTTGCACATGAATTTAGTTTTAATTAATTAATATATTTTTTATTGAATTGCTTGAACCTTTATTTTCTATGTACATTTATACATTACACAATACTATACACAAACATGAAAATTATGCACTAACTATTGAAATGGGACCAACTTTGAAGCGTTGCTGGGTCATTCAACATGGTTTTCAAACAACAACATACTTTTATGTTTTGTGTAGATTTAGATATTAAAACTTCAAAGTCAATTTTCAGTTTTGTAGAATAAATTTGCGTTTTCGCGTAAAAATGTTCATGTGTTATTTCTTGTACCTAGGATGGGATGTATTTTTTTTTGCCTTATCGCATTTTTATCAATAATACAGATGTTTTTTTCCAACTTGTGAAACAGCTGAGTGTTTATTGCTTGCTTCGACTTCATTACTAATCGGCTAAAAATTTAGATACAATTTTTGCTTACCGAGCTCGAAGCCTATTTTGTTTTGTAAGATATTCATGCATCTTGTTAATAAATTGAATTAAGTAGTTATTTTATATTTCGTGAGTCGTCTGATTAACACAGAAGAGTGTTTAGAAAACCTAATTACGGAGAAGTACAAATGGGAGGTGAGGGGATCGGAGGAGGGGAAGGTAGGTTTTTCATTCAATTAGGCGTTAACAGAACATTTCAATAAAATACACATAAATGAGAGTCTGCAGGAAGAAATCATCAAGTACTTTAGGAGACCACCAGATATTCATTTGAAAATCAGAGGTCTGGATGAGTTGGCCGTGGGGGGGGGGCTCCAAAAGTACTTAAATTGTGATGATTTATTCTCAGACCTTAGGAATGAAACTTGATATTTAAGAAGAAAACAAGCGATAATTTATAGTACACGTTTACAACTCCTGGTCGGATTAAGTTAAGCTTTCTATTCATAAATTTCCTTCTCGAATTGTTCTTCTTTAAAATCCTGAAAATTATCCTCCACGTGCTTGTTTTGATGAAAACTGTTTCCGGTTTCTCCGCCATTTTGATTCTAATCAGTGTACAGAGGATCAGATTACGATCAGGTTTCAAGATGTCAACCTTTGTGTACTAAATAGTATCTCTTAAAGGGATTGTGTACGTGATTTTTGAATTTTTGCACTGATAAAGTATATATCTTCGTATTTTCATCTTCAACAAGTGAATCACCATAGCAAAATGAATTAGAGTCGAGTGGATTGTACATCTATCTAGACTGAAATGAAAAGTTCAATTCCCAAGACTGGCTTGACTTTCAAGTGTCGCTATTCCTTGTTTTTTGGTTTTATACCCCACTACCTAATTAAATCTTTTTCAGGTTTAGAGATTAATATTTTAGAAATATGTAAAAAAAATTAGAATTGTGTTTAAGAAGTAATTGGCAAAGTTCTTATAGATTTTTGCATCAATGCTTGCAACCTTTGAATCAATTTGAATAGTTGACTGGTACACTGTACAGTGTTGTCCTTAATATATCAATTAACTACCAATTAACAGCTTTTTCTTGTAAACTTGTAATTTGAAAAAAATCTTGCTAGAAATAAAAACGCCGACCACTCTATTGAATTATTTCGCTATGGACAGTAAAGTATTAAAAAGAGTTTGAATCAGAGGCGTATTCAGGGGGGGGGGCTATGGGGCTAAGCCCCCCCCTGGACCAGTGAAATCTTTTGATTTCAGGGGGTTTTCAGGCCCCAACGGGTGCTGAGCCCCCCCTGGAAAGAGAACAAAATTTAAGCCCCCCCTGGACAAATTCCTGAATACGCCCCTGGTTTGAATAGTTGAGTACATGTAAGTTGGTGGTTTAATCTCAGTATTAATTTCTTTCAATGTCATCCATTTTCTGCAGATCAATGTTTTGATGCGTTTATCTTTATTTTTTATTCGTTTTGTATACAATGAACTTTAAACGCCGAAATAGTTGGCCGCCAGATGTCTCTGCTCTCGATGCTTTAAATGAATACATGTGGCAAAGACACCTATCGGAAAAACGTCGTTTTAAGTGCAGTGTATATAAAACAAATAGCAAATATTTGAAATATTAACTATATACGAATGCGTCGAAAAATAATCAATGACTTTAGGTTGTAATATCTGAATGATTTGTTTGAAATTAAATATATTACTTTACGATATGATATTGCAACTTTCTGAATTTGTATGGACGCTACGTTCTTCAGTTTAAGTCGTTTTTAACAATTTTATCCCTACAGACGCAACAGATAGAAGTAAGATTAGTAGCGATAAATAGCTATTATTTTTCGCCATAAGCCTGTACCCCCTTTCATTTTTTGCAAACACTCCCTTTAACTTCGTTGCGTGGCAATCTATTTTTTGTGCAGATCAAAGTTTGTTGCATTTATTACTCTTAACTTTTTGACGTAGTTCTTTTTCTTTGAGATAAATATTGTTTTTCATGAAATGTTTCACAAAGGAAATGATTTTCTTGTTTGTGTCTCCAGAGTTAAAAGGACAAAATTGATGTTATTAGTTTTGGTAAAACTAGGAAAATGAAAAATGGCACAAACAAAGGGTTTGTACTACAATAGAAATATTATTCAAAACTTTATTAATTCAAGCTAATTTATTTAAATTAATATGTTAATAAAACTACAAAGAAAATTGTAAGCCTTCTTTTATTGAAATGAAATGGTTGCTCTATCGCGCTGTGTTCCATGAAGTCTTGTATATTTTCTCGACTTTATGCAAAGATCTACTGAAAAAAACATGTCATAAAGCTAATTTCATAAATAAATGTTTACTTAATAACAACAAATTTTTTAAACGCTATCCGAGGAAATGCACCCTAGGCTGTAACCTTAACATTTTTCACACTTTCAAACCGAAAAAAACACAGAAATTTATTTGTATAAAATTGGATGAAAACAGATTTCTGGGTTTAACTTTTGTTTTTCCGTCATTAAAAATATTACTTTCCACTTGCTCCTTTGAATGGGTACGTGATATTTACTGTTCAGTTTAGTAATTAATTATTTGATTTCAATCTAGATATTGAGTCAGAAATTGTGTTCAATTTAATGTTATATTACCAAACAATATATTATTATAATATATTTAGACTTTGATTTCTATCTGCTATAATACTGCTATGAGAATACAATGGCGTACACAGAAATAAATCTAGGGGTAAATTTTGCCCCTCCCCTAATAGGTCCTAAGGGGGGGGGGGCATAATTAGAACTGTAAATTCAAAAACATTTGGCTATTTGGTACACTGTGAAAGACGATACCTGGCCGCCTAAAACAAGTTCCACAAGATTCACCGGAACGGATACGAGGCATTGCAACTTTCAGTCTAACGCGTGTGATCTTGATATTAACACACTTCTGAACCCTCTAGTAAAAGTTATAAGAATTATATATACTGGAAGTTACTTAATGCGTTTCATAAGAGATCGACCACACGTCCTCTATAACACATACAATCCAGTTACCTTACCAGTACTACTTTATCTCTCCTTCAAACAAAAACAGCAAACTAATTTTTTTATGCTCTTCACTCTTCAGTTTTCGGTTTGAAAAGTGTTACAGTCTGTTTTCTAGGGGGCGGCTACACCCCCCCCCCCCTCTGAGAATATGATCCCGTGTAAATATACACAAAATATAGATTTAATAATAAATGATATAAATGTAGATTGTAGATCCAAATTCTACATTATTTGTTTACTCAAATATATTTGTTTGAGAAGGAAAGCAAATATTTTTTATTGCGGGAATATATAGATATATGGAAGGTAGGCTGGAGGGGAGGTGGACTTGACACTAGACACTTGATACTAGACACTAATAACAAATTTCTTAGACGTCAAAAACTGGATATTATTAATATTCCAGACACTAATAACAAATTTCTTAGACGCCAGAAACTGGATGTTATTAATATTCCATATTTCATATTTGGCCTAACACAAGACACAAGAAAATAGACACCAGACACAAAAGACATAAGAAATTAAAGACTCGACACTAGTTACTACACACTAGACACAGACATTAGACACTATATTTATCTATATTACAAAAATGTAAAAGCCTTGTATACTTTTCTATTGTGCTCAAACTCCTTTGTTAGAAAATTCATCCATTTTTTATTTTCCTTTTTATTCTAAAATAAATCACCTCCATTTATAATCCTTTTAGTTGCAGATCTAAACAACAGAATAATTTTATATTCAAAGAAAATTATTTTAACGACTTTATCCTTGAATAATAGTGATGGTGGAGTACTGTACTACAGGATAATTTACTGTACTTTTCTGTACTGTACTGTACTACAGGGTACTTTACTGTACTGTACTTTACTGTACTACAGAGTACTTTACTGTACAACTGTACTTCTGGATACTTTACTGTACTGTACTGTACTACAGGATACTTTACTGTACTGAACTGTACTACTGGATACTTTACTGTTCTGTATTGTACTACAGGGAACTTTACTGTACTCAACTGTACTGGACTGTAATACAGGATACTTTACTGTGTTGCACTGCACTACCGGGTATTTACTGCACTGTACTGTATTATAGGATACTTTACTGTGCTGTACTGATTACTAGGTACTTTACTGCACTGTACTAAAAGACACTTTACTGTGTTATACTGTACTACAGGATACTTTACTGTACTGCACTGCACTGTAGAAGGGGACTGTTGTGAACTGTATACTGTACTGTATTACAGAATACTTTACTGTGCTGTACTGAATTACTAGGTACTTTACTGTACTGTACCACAGGATACTTTACAGTACAGTACTGTACTACAGGATACTGTACTATACTTTACTGTACTGTACTACAGGATACTTTAATGTACTTTACTGTAATACAGGCTACTTTACTGTACTGTACTGTACTACAGGATACTGCACTGTAATACAAGGTACTTTACTGTACTCTATTGTACTGTACTGTTGTATAGGATATTTTACTGTACTATACTGTACTATGCCT